CCAGCAGCGCAGCGCCCCCCCCCCTCCTTGCCTGTTTAGCGTTGGCCTGCCAGGGCCATGTTTTGGGCGGCGTTGGGGGGGAGGAACGTGGTAGCAGCTGCTGCCCCCTCATTAAAATGCACACCTGCTCCCAGCAGATGCTGCGGGTGCTGCTACTGTGCCCATTTTCCTTTCCGTTTGGTCTGGATCCTGCCCATCTCATTAACTCAAAGCGTCCCCAAGCTTCAGGGGATTCTCCCGTAGGGTTTCAACCAGATGATTGAAAGTGGACGCTCCAAAAAGAGAGTGGGAGGGAAAGAGGGGAAAAAAACTGACTCCCTCCCTCCTCCTCCTTCCTCTCCTTTCCTCTCCTTTCCTTTCCTTTCCTCCCCTTTCCTTTCCTTTCCTTTCCTCTTCTTTCCTTTCCTCCCCTTTCCTTTCCTTTCCTTTCCTCTTCTTTCCTTTCCTGTCCTTTCCTTTCCTTTTCTTTCCTTTCCTCCCCTTTCCTTTCCTTTCCTTTCCTTTCCTCTCCTCTCCTCCCCTTTCATTTCCTTTCCTCTCTTCCCCTTTCCTTTCCTCTCCTCTCCTTTCCTTTCCTTTCCTTTCCTTTCCTCTTCTTTCCTTTCCTCCCCTTTCCTTTCCTCTCCTTTCCTCCCCTTTCCTCTCCTCTCCTTTCCTTTCCTCTCCTTTCCTTTCCTTTCCTTTCCTCTTCTTTCCTTTCCTCCCCTTTCCTTTCCTTTCCTTTCCTTTCCTCTCCTCCCCTTTCATTTCCTTTCCTCTCTTCCCCTTTCCTTTCCTCTCCTCTCCTTTCCTTTCCTTTCCTTTCCTCTTCTTTCCTTTCCTCCCCTTTCCTTTCCTTTCCTTTCCTCTCCTCTCCTCCCCTTTCATTTCCTTTCCTCTCTTCCCCTTTCCTTTCCTCTCCTTTCCTTTCCTTTCCTTTCCTCTCCTTTCCTTTCCTTTCCTTTCCTTTCCTTTCCTCTTCTTTCCTTTCCTCCCCTTTCCTTTCCTTTCCTTTCCTCTCCTCTCCTCCCCTTTCATTTCCTTTCCTCTCTTCCCCTTTCCTTTCCTTTCCTTTCCTTTCCTTTCCTCCCCTTTACTTTCCTTTCCTTCCTCCCCTCCCTCTGTTTAAGGACAGAATTTGAAACTTAGTGTATGTGCCAATCTGCCAACTACAGCTTTGCTCCCTTAACCCCCACCCACCCCAATTTCCATCTAGTATTTGCTTTCTGCTGTGACTCTTTGGCACACAAAATGCTCTCTTCCTGGGACATCTTGAAAACCCTGGGCCCAGACCCCTCCCCACTGAGCCTTTGGCGATCCCGTGAGGGTTTCAGCAGGAGAGCAAAGGGGGTCTCCAGGCTCCCCCCTTCGAGATGGACTTGGGGAGACACAGAGAGAAAGCAGCTCCATTCTGGGGCCGTGGGGGGGGGGGAGACATATAGATGGTGCCATGTCTCCCTCTGTGCACTGAAGGGGCTTCAGTTTGGGTTTTGTCCATTGAGAAGGGACGATGCAGTGATGCTCAGTTTTGTTCTAAAAGTTTGTGCAAGTTGCTTATGAAGGCCTCTTAGGGGGTCTGGGAAGGGGACCTTGAAGCCTTTTCCAGCAGCAAATGTGGAAACCTAGCCAAGCAAACCCCTCCCAAAACAAAGAAAAACTTTGGCATTCTTTAACTCTATATCCTGGAGCGGGGTGGGGAACCGTGGCCATTTTAGGACCTTTTAGGAATTCTGGAGTTGAAGTCTAGTTTATAAAAGGGCCATGGTTCCTCACCCCTAATCTAGAGAATAGAGTTAGAATTAGGATAGGATAGGATAGGATAGGATAGGATAGGATAGGATAGGATAGGACAGAATAGAAATACAGAATAGGATAGAACATAAAAGAACAGAACAGAATAGAATAGAATAGAATAGAATAGAATAGAATAGAATAGAATAGAATAGAATAGAAATACAGAATAGGATAGAACAGAATAGGATAGAATAGAACAGAACAGAATAGAATAGAATAGAAATACAGAATAGAAATACAGAATAGGATAGAACAGAATAGAAATACAGAATAGAAATACAGAATAGGATAGAACAGAATAGTATAGAACAGAATAGAATAGAATAGAATAGAATAGAATAGAATAGAATAGAATAGAATAGAATAGAATAGAAATACAGAATAGAAATACAGAATAGTTTGGGGGGAAATGGGTGAGCAATACCGAAAATGGTGTGTATTAATTTGTCTTATTTTTTTTATCTGAAGTATTTCTAAGATTGTATTGTATTGCAAACTTGAAAATAAAAAATTAAAAAAAAAATAAATACAGAATAGGATAGAACAGAATAGAAATACAGAATAGAATAGGAATAGAAATACAGAATAGGATAAGACAGAATAGAAATACAGAACAGAATAGAATAGAATAGCAGAGTAGGAAGGGACCTTGGGGGGTCTTCTAGTCCAGCCCCCCCCCTCAAGCAGGAGAATACAGTAGTTCTCTATTAGCTGTATTAATTTCAAGAAACCCCTCCACAAAGCATGCCGTGCAGTTCTGCTCACTATGCGTCACCACCAGTAGCTGTGAAATGGCTTTTTAGTAGCCGGTGGAAAAGAAGGAACTCTGAGGAAGAACCGTCTGCGCCTGACAAATCCCAGAATAACAACGCAAGGAGAAAAAGAGGGAATTCTTCGGTAGAAATTGTGCAAATGGCAAATTAGGAGTCACCCAGCTCGGGGAGCACCCAGGACCCCTCACAAGGTGGCCCTCCCTGGGCTCAGCCTGGCGGTGTTGCCACTTAATCGTCCCCCCCCCCAGGGACGCCTCCTCCGACCAAAGGGCCTTGACAAATGGAGAGGGCCGTTTGGATGGGCCAGTTGGCTCCGGCTCCTTTTGGCGATGCATAACAGATGGACAAGGTGACCAGTGGATGGCCGTTGCCGGGCTATCTTTCTCAAAAAGCAAGGAAGGGAAGGAAAAATACAAATAAAACCCCCTCTTGCTGCTATAGAGCTCGGGCCCATGGCTCTTTGAACGGTCAATCCTGGTTATGGAAGACGCTTTGGGTTTTCCGGAAAGGATGAAACTACTGTATGGAGAATTAAGCTTGCAAGGGACTAAAATGGGCTTTAGGCAGGTCAGCACACCAACAAAAAAGAGCCATTAGCTTTTAAAATGTAGAGGCCAACGGGAAATTAAACCCAGTTTCATTCGCCTTGACTTTACAGCCCTTTGTTTAGTGACCGTTGGAAGTGACTTGCCATCGCAAGCGTCTCCGGGGGTCACATGAGCAGAGTTTGCAAACTCTTTCCCATCCCAGTGGCTTAAGGGGAGCGCCCATCTTTCCCCACGATCTCAGAATTTAAACCACTTGTTTCACATCCAGGGAGCTGAAGTCCACCTATCTTACAATGGCCAAAGTTGGCAAAATACTCAAGGTTGTTAAACCCCCCCCCCCCCCAAAAAAAGAGTTTCCAAAATCTAAAAGACCAAGAGAAAGCCTTTTTGAGTGGGTTTTGTTCTAGATGGTGATTTTAGAGAACCAGTGGGCACCCTTCTCTCAGCTTCCAGTGTCCTGCATATTTATTGTGCAAAGTGTTTTCCCAGAGATTAAAAAAAGAAACATATTCTTTAAAAATTCTCCTAGGGCTAGAAAAATGGTCTACAATGTGGACAGGGGCTTTAAGTTGGAAATGTGGAAAGTAAAAAGTCTGTTGGTCACGCCTGGTGGATTTGCAAAAATGCCCGAAAAATTCTGGGTTCCAATACACGCAAAGAATGTTAAAGATTAATATTCAATGAAAACCAGAACTTTTCCTGTGTGACAATTAGAAAAGGGTTGTGGAAAGTGGCTTTTCTATGTGATAACCACTGTGAGGTTTTTTTGTTTTTGTTTTTCTATATGTATGAGAATGAAAAGACTCTGAAATACCCACAATGCAGGAATGGTTGGTGAAGATGCAGGATTAGCAAAGGTAGCACAATTAACCTGTCTGTTTAGGGAAAGGAGAATTACTGCATGTATCAGTGCCTGGAAACCCTTTATGGACTTTTTGCTAAAAAAATAAAAAAATGAACCTGTGATTTTATGAGCTCGATGATTAGAAAGGGTAGACTGGAAATAAGAGATGGCAAAATATAAATGTAACCGCTCTTAAGATTGAAAGTTGCTTCTTTACAGTATCACTTTTTCTTCCTTCCTTCCTTCCTTCCTTCCTTCCTTCCTTCCTTCCTTCCTTTCTTTCTTTCTTTCTTTCTTTCTTTCTCTCTTTCTCTTTCCTTCTCTCCTTCCTTCTTTTCTTTTTTCTCTCTCCCCTTCCTTCCTTCCTTCCTTCCTTCCTTCCTTCCTTCCTTCCTTCCTTCCTTCCTTCCTTTCTTTCTCTTTCTCTCCCTTCTTTTCTTTCTTTCTTTCTTTCTTTCTTTCTTTCTTTCTTTCTTTCTTTCTTTCTTTCTTTCTCTCTTTCCTTTCTTTCTTTCTTTCTTTCTTTCTTTCTTTTTCTTTCTCCTTCCTTCTTTTCTTTTCTTTCTTTTTCTCTCTCCCTTTCCTTCTTTCTTTCTTTCTTTCTTTCTTTCTTTCTTTCTTTCTTTCTTTCTCTCTCTCTTTTTGTTTCTTTCTTTCTCTCCCTTCTTTTCTTTTTCTTTTTTCTTTCTTTCTTTATTTTTCCCTCTCTCTTTCCTTCCTTTCTCTCTCTCTCTCTCTCTCTCTCTTTCTTTCTTCACATTATTTTACTTTTTTTCAAAATCTGCATTCTTTTTATTCTTTTAAGAATTCCTTTCATAGAAGTCACGTTAAGAAAAACCCTCCTGTAAAAGGAGCCAGAGAGACTGGATCTTCTGTAGCGGTGTGGTTAAGGCTGTCGCTCGTTCAAATCCTGCTCTCGGCTGCTCCTGATCCTCCGCCCGCCAACACCAGGAGGGCAGACGGCTGGGGGGGGGGCATTGCAAAGCCGCTGAAGGACGGCTGGACAGCTTGTTCCTGCCGTTCTCCGACTGACCCTCTTCTTCATCCTCCTCCCTTTCTTAGATGCTCCAGTGACTTTGTCGGCCATCGGTGCCAGTTCCAAAATTTGTGCCTCAGCTCCCCCTGTAAGAATGGCGGCACCTGCCACCCCGTGGTGGACGGCAACACGGCTGATTACGTCTGTTCCTGCCACCTGGGCTACATCGACAAGCTGTGCCTGACCATGGAGGAGAACGCCTGCCTGAGCAGCCCCTGCCGCAACGGAGGGAGCTGTGACCTTGTCACCCTGACCGAGTACAAATGCAGCTGCCCTCCAGGCTGGTCAGGTGAGAGAGCAACTGGCACACATTCCCAAATATCCCGGGGATCCTTTGAGAGGCCTGCAACCCCAACCCTGGTAGAATCCCACTTCTCAGCTGCAGAACCAAGCCCAACCTTGTGCGTTTGATGTGTCCTTGTTGGGACTGCAAGGAAGAGCTTTCATTTTGTTCCCGGTCTTCCCGGTGACAGCTGGAACTAGGGGGTGCCAAAAGCATCGTGTCCGACTGATGAACGCAACCAAGCCAGCATCCTTGAGACGTTCTGATCTCTTAGGCAAAACTTTATTGGGCACATCATTCCGGCACGTATGAAAGCAAAGCCAGCTCTCGCTAATTCCATCTCCCCCCCCCCCACTCCCAACTATACGGTAAAAGCAAAGAATTCTCTCTCCTCCCATTTGGGCAGGTCTCATTGTCCAATTAAGCGTCACAATATTGTTATGAGAAAATGTCTCTGAGGTTAGGCAGACACTTGGGGAAGCGACCTTGGTTCTCATGGACCGACTTCTTGATATCCAGTTCCCACTCCCCTCCCCCTAAGTATGTTGGCAAGCTAAGAAGCAGTAATGGTGGCGACAGCATAAGCGTGCTTCGAACCTGACACCATTTCCATTTTTCAAAGGTTTCTCTCCACGAAAGAGAGAAGCCTGCCTTGTGTACCCTTGACTATTTAGACCAGTGCTTCTTAAACTTGTCAACTTTTACGATATCTGCATTCGACTCCCAGAACTCTCCATTCCGCAAGGGTCACTGGGAATCGAAGCCCCCTCATCTTAAAAGTTGTCGACTTTGAAAAACACTGCTTTAACTGGTTCTGCCTGTCATGGGGGAGGTGGAAGAGAAAGGGTGCAGGCTCCTTAGAGCAGGGACAGACACTGTCCTCGTTTAAAAATGTTTAATTCTTGCATCAAGGTATCCCTGTAGAGAAAAACCCTACAATGGAAGAAATAAGAGTCAGGCAGAAAAAATGTACATTTTTAAAGAAGCCCGTGAAAATTGAATAAAGCCGTTTGCAACTCTTTAAAAGCATTAAAAAGATTAGCCCTGAAAAAAGGGAGCTTTTGGGGTCCTATTTGTGGCATTTCTGGGCTCTGAAGGTTTGGCTGAAGCCAGATGTCCGTCTCTTTGGCCTGCAGGCAAGACGTGTCAGCAGGCGGATCCCTGTGCCTCTAACCCATGTGCCAACGGCGGCCAGTGCGTGCCCTTTGAGTCCAGCTATGTGTGCAGGTGCCCGCAGGGCTTCCACGGGGCCACCTGCAAGGAAGACCTGAACGAGTGCAGCCGGACACCCCCCATCTGCAAGAACGGCGGGACCTGCGTCAACGAGATCGGCTCCTACCAGTGTCACTGCCGGCCGGCCTACACGGGCTCCAATTGCGAGCACCTCTACGTGCCCTGCAACCCCTCGCATTGCCAGAACGGGGGCACCTGCCAGCAGACGGGAGATGTGGCCTACGAGTGCACCTGCCTTGCAGGTATGCTGGCCTGCCTGGGCTCTCTCTTCAGCTAACCCAGGGGTGTCAAACCCGCGACGTGTCGCGACGTATCGTGACTTTTTTTCCCCCGTGGTCGGCAATGGGGTGGGCGCGGTTTCACCACGGCGCATCCGGCCCGCAGGCCGGCAGTGGACACCCCTGCTCTAACCCCTGCCTGACCCAGGAGCGATACGGAGGGCATCTGTGGACGCCGTGTTCCAAAAGCTCAGCTGGCGTGGTCCCAGCACTCGTGGGAGAGATTTGGCAACCTCATAAGTTTTCGGCCGACTCCTTTTATTTTGCGTAGCCCTTGCCTTCACAGAGTACCCTGGCCCAACCCTAATTTCTTCGCATCCTGACTTGGTTGTCCCTCCCTCCCCCTTTTCCTACAATGCCCCCATTTGCATTCCAGGCTCCTCTCCTCTGCATGGTCTTCTGCAGGATGCTGGGATACTTGAAACAGCCATTAGCAAATAGGACACATCTACAGCTCACAGACCTCTTGACTGGTTCTGCTCCGTGGCTTTTTCCTTGAGAGAGTTGGGATCTATGGAAAAGCCATATAAGGAAATGGAAATAGCCGCTGCTGTGTTCCTGGCAGCCAGCTTGGGATGGGGGGGGGGAGGGCTGGACCACCCCAGACAGACCTTCACTTTCTATTGCAGTGAAACTTCATCCCTTGCAGGGGATATGTCAGTGATGATGGATAGGCATCAAATCATGAAGAAGAAAACCAGCTAACCTTAGCTCTGACCGTGATTAGTACAACTGGGAAACGGCAACAACCACAACAACATATAATAAAGAATACACAAAGTAGCACCTAGAACCCATTAATCGAAAAAGCCCCACGACCATCCCTAGTCTGTTTCTTGGAAGGTGCTTCGCAATAGAACAAACTAGGGGTTGACAGCTTTTGTGTTTTTCAACTGCGGAAACTAAAAGGGTATGGACCTCAACTTCCACAATTCCCCAGTCAACATGTTGGCTGGGAATTCTGGGAGCTGAAGTCCCCAAAAGCTGCTAAGACTGAGAAACATTGACCTAAAGAAGTTGGCCTTGATCTGTTTGATGATCAACTCGGTGCTGGCTAAAAATGTAAGGATCTGGAATTGCAAAATTCTCAGAAAGCCCTAATCCAGGGAAGGCTGGATTATTTACCTCAAGGGTCTTCAAGCTTGGCCCTTTTATGACTGTGGACTTCAACTCCCAGAATTCCTCAGCCAGGCACGCTGGCTGAGGAATTCTGGGAGTCGGTCCACGAGTCATAAAAGGGCCCTGATTTACTTCACTGTTACAGGTTGATGGGTTACTTCCCCTGTGTTGGATTTCCCCTTTGTGGCTTCCTGTCTTTTGGGACTCGGATGCTGGTCTGTTGTGGGTCAGATGTGGGCCGTTCTCTGCAGGGGGGGGTTCTTGATGGCAGGAAAGCTGTGAAGCTCCAGTTCTTGGCCTCGTTCAGAGACAGCTTTGTCTGGTTGGCATATCGGTGCATGCAAGAAAAAAAACATTTTTTCTTGACTAGGAAGAACACAGGAAGCAAAGCTGGTCCAGCTCTGTTAGGTAGCCCAGGAGAGCAGAAGCCAGAGACGCATTTGTCCAACTCAATTAGCACTAAATTAATAGGTGGATGGGGGACCACTAGGAAACCCAGAGTCAAAGTGGCACTGAAATCAAATTTCAGGCTGACCTCGTTTAGTAACTGCCTGTTTTAGCCCCCATTCTGGGTAACAACAAACAGGGAGTGAAAAGTATCTGGGCAACCAATCCTTGCATTTATAACTTTTGCAGGTTGTCCCAGCAAAGGAAAGCTAAAATAAGATCAGAAGCCCAGTGGCAGTTTCTCTGTTTTGCTTAAGGACTGAGCTGTCGGTCTCCACCCTGGCTGTTAAATGAGGACTCCTTGTAAATCAGTGCTGCTCAACCTTGACCATTTTAAGGCATGTGGACTTCAACTCCCAGAATTCCACAGCCAGCAATGGATTTCAGGAAGTTGGCATGGATAAAAGGTTGAAATGTTGGAATAATGGGAAGATGTCTTTTTATTCAGTTCATCTAGTGCAGTGTTTCTCAACCTTGACAGTTTTAAGGCATTAAAGCAATGCTGGCTGTGGAATTCTGGGAGTTGAAGTCCATATGCCTTAAAATGGTCAAGGTTGAGAAACACTGCTGTAAATAATGTCAGAGAAATAGAAAGGAAAACCCAAAGCTGTAGGCTAGACTGGGAAATTTAGGAAAACAAAAGGCAGAAGAGGATGGTGAAAATCTTTTCCATACTGTTGCTAAGACAACCCCATTAAATAAAACGGGCACCTTGTCCCGGAGTCAAGCGCTCCATTTAGCTCCAGTTCGTCTGCCCGGACTGGCAGCGGCTTCTGGAGAAGGGGGTCTCCTGCTGCCCTGCCTGGGGTCTCCCGCCAAGAAAACTGGGTCTTGATCCAGGTTTGGGGCCCTGGGGTTTTCCTTCCATCTCACCTGTCCTTTTGCCCCTTCTCGGCCGGCAGGCTTCGCGGGCCAGAACTGTGAAGAGAATCTTGACGACTGTCCCGGAAACAGCTGCAGGAACGGAGGGACCTGTGTGGACGGGGTGAACACCTACAACTGCCAGTGCCCATCTGAGTGGACAGGTGAGGATGCACGGACGGGAGGGTGGAAAAAATCAGAGACACCCGCCCCCCAAAGAGAGGAAAGTCAGGCTTTGCCCCAGGTGGAGGTGGGGATGGCGTTGGGCGTGAACTTTTTCTCTCTTGTTGTTGTTGTTAATTGCGAAGTCGTGTCCGACCCATGGCGACCCCATGGACCACGTTCCTCCAGGCCTTCCTGTCCTCTACCATCTTCTGGAGTCCACTTAAGCTCACGCCTACTGTTTCAGTGACTCCATCCAGCCACCTCATTCTCTGTCGTCCCCTTCTTCTCTTGCCCTCCATCTTTCCCAGCATCAGGCTCTTCTCCAGGGAGTCCTTCCTTCTCATTAGGTGGCCAAAGTCTTTGAGTTTCAACTTCAGGATCTGGCCTTCTAAAGAGCAGTCGGGGTTGATCTCTTCTAGGACTGACAGTTTGAACGCCTTGCAGTCCAGGGGACTCGCAGGAGTCTTCTCCAGCACCAGAGTTCAAAGGCCTCCATTCTTTGGCGCTCAGCCTTTCTTATGGTCCAACTTTCACAACCATACATTGCAACTGGGAAAACCATGACCTGGACTGTATGCACTTTTGTTGGCAGGTTTCTCTCTTAGCCAAATTTGAAATCCCACCACCAGCATTTTTTTTTAAAAAAAAAACATGTTTTGTTGTTTCTAGAATTAAGGATCTGAAAGCAAGACAGCAGTCCTTTGGAGGCTTCCTTACAATTCACGAGACCCTTCCCCCTCCGCAATTTCCTTGTCTTGCCATATTCCCAGGTTGCAAGGAAAACACCCGAGCGATTCAGAGACACTCGTCTGGAAAGACGAGGTTGGGGGATGGCATCACTCACCTTAGGCTCAGCTGACCTGGGATTGCGTTTCAGACAGACCGTACAGGTGGCGAGTCCTTGACTCACAACTGTAAGGGAGCCTGCCCATCACAGTCGCAAGTGGGGACGGCCGTCAAATGGGCCTGTCACACGACCAGCCTGGGTTTATGACCTTTTTGGCAGAGGTCATTAAGCAAATCAGGGTCCCTAGTGGAATCACCGTGGCTTTTCCCTGAGGGCGTAGTTTTGCGGAAAACCGGAAATAAGTGCTGGTTTTCAGCAAAACCTTCGTAAAAGACGGTCATGTGACCGCGGGATGCCAAAAAGGAACACACCGTGGGGCCAAGCGTCCAGTTTGGTCATGTGACTGTGGGGGGGGGACACGACCCTCAGGGCTTTGAATCTGAGCCATAAGTAACCCCAAGGTGGGCGTGTCCTAACTTCAAACGGTCATTAAGCAATCAGTCGTAGGGCGAGGACTTCATTGCATTAAAACAGTGGTTCTCAACCTGTGGGTCGGGACCCCATTTGGGGTCGAACGACCATTTCACGGGGGTCGCCAAACAACGCAGTCCGCCATTTCCCCCCCCCTTTTCCTTAGCTGTGCTACTCCCTTTTATTCTATTGGCTTTTGAAAGCCAATAGAATAGACTCTCTTGAATAGAGTCTAATTCTATTGGCTTTCCAAAGCCAATAGGAATTGTCCAGGCTGTCTCTGCCCTGCTGAGCCCGCCAAAAGTCCCATTCTGCAAACGGTGCTGCACCAGTTGAGTAGTCCTCGACTTACGACCGGTTGAGTAATCCTCGACGTACATCCGGTTGGGGGTCGCGGCATTAAAAAGAACAGAAACCCAAAGAAATGCATGCAAAAATATACGTGAATTTTCAAAGGTTTAAAAAAAACAAAAAACCCTTGGCCACTATATCGGAAAAATAAAGGTCAAAAACATTCTTGATCGCCTGTCATAAAAAATGCAGAGTGTGGCTGCAAGCGTGTGTGTGCTGAAGAGGACGGGGGCGCTTCGTGCTCAAGCCAGCAGACGTCGTTCTGTTTTCGAGCCTCAATACAGGTGGTCGTTGAGTTACGACCACAGTCCAGCCCAAAATTTCTGTTGTTAAGCGAGACGTTGGCGAAGTGAGTTTTGCCCCATTTTACGCCCTTTCTCGCTACAGTTGTTAAGTGAAGCACATCAGTTCTTAAGTCAGTAACCCAGTTGTTAAGTGAACCTGGCTCCCCCCCACATGGACTTTGCTTGTTGGAAGGGCGCAACAGAGGATCACGTGACCCCCATGGGACGCTGCAACCGTCTGAATTTTGATCACATGACCTTGGGGATGCTCCAATGGTCGTAAGTGTGAAAAGAGGTCATAAGTCCCTTTTCCTAGTGCCGTTGTAACTTCAAACGGTGTCTGAATGAGCTGTCGTAAGTTGAGCACCCCTGGGTAGCCCTTCCTGCTCTTCTCCTGGGAGGGCCGTAGAGAGGTTGACCTGCACCAGTTGGGGGTCTTCCTCACCTCCCCCCCCCAGCCCCGCGAATAACTTGATCAGCCCGGTTCTTTCCCTTCTAGGCCAGTATTGTGCTGAAGATGTGGATGAGTGTCAGTTAATCCCCAATGCTTGCCAGAACGGCGGCACCTGCCACAACACCCACGGGGGCTACAACTGTGTCTGTGTCAACGGCTGGATGGGCGAGGACTGCAGCGAGAACATTGACGACTGCGCCAGTGCCGCTTGCTCCCCAGGGGCCACGTGCCATGACCGGGTGGCCTCTTTCTATTGCGAGTGCCCACATGGGCGGACAGGTGCGTATCCAAGGGAGAGACACAAAGAACGGTGGCAGGAATTGGGTAGGGCCAGTCTAGAGAAAAGATAGGACGAGGGGGGACATGATAGCAGTCTTCCAGTATTTTATTTTATTCTTAAAATTTATAAGCCGCCCCACTCCCGCAGGACTCTGGGCAGCTAACAATAAAACACCATAAAACATGACAAAACAAACAGTAAAATAACAGTCATCCAGGGGTCAGATTTTATAAACCCCAGGCCTGCCGGAAAAGCCGGGTCTTAAGCAGCTTACGGAAAACCAACAGGGTGGGAGCGGTCCTAATCTCCGGGGGGAGCTGGTTCCAAGACGTGGGTGCCATCACAGAGAAGGCCCTCCTCCGCGGCCCCGCCAAATGGCACTGCTTGGCCGACGGGACCCGAAGGAGACCCAGCCTGTGGGATCTAACCGGACGAAGGGAACTATGAGGTAGTAGGCGGTCTCGCAGATAGCCTGGCCCTGAGCCATATAGGGCTTTAAAGGTAATAACCCACACCTTGAATTGGACCCGGAGACCAATAGGCAACCAGTGCAGCTCACGGAGGATAGGTGTAACGTGGGTGTTTGAGGGGCTGCCACAAAAAAGAGGGGGATCAAGTTATTCTCCAAAGCTCCAGAGAGCAGGACAAGAAACAATGGAAGGAAACTAATCCAGGAGAGACGCAACCTGGAATTAAGGAGAAACTTCCTAACAGTGAGGACAATTAACCAGTGGAACAGCTTCTTGCCTTCAGACATTGTGGACGCTTCATCCCTGGAGGCTTGTAAGAAGAGACTGGACAGCCACTTGTCTGAAATGGTATAGGGTCTCCTGCTTGGGCAGGGGGCTGGACTAGAAGACCTCTAAGGCCCCTTCCAGCTCGGTCATTAGCTGCTTCTTTTGAAGCCGTGCCAGGCTGGTGGGGGCAGGGGGCTTCATTCCCAGCAACGTTCCTGCCGCTTTCGATGGGAGAGTGCAGCCATGTCACTTTTGCGGCAGGTTGCATAGCCTTCCCCTACCTGCTTCCCTCTAGAGGTGCTAAGAATACAGGAGCCCGCTAGGAATTCTGGGAGTTGCAGTCCTAAAATATTTGCTGAGGTTATGGAAGAAAAAGAGGGAGTGGCACAGTGGCCTAGAGGTGAAAATGCTCGCCTAACACTTGGGGGGAAGGCTGAGAATTCAATCCCAGGCAGCGACAGATGTTTCTCTATCAGGGCACAACGAGAAAATATCTACTACAAACTCTGCTTAGGTGTCAGGAAGGGCATCTGGTCAGTAAACGCTCAGCTCCAATTAGTCGCCTGACTCCATCCTGATAGGAAAAGGTTACAGGACCGTAAAAAGAAGAAAAAGAAAAAGTACGAACAAGAGGGTGGCTAGCCCCTGCATTCTCAGAGGTCTCCAGATGTTGCCATTGGTCCACAGCCCAATTCCAGCTGCCGGGAGTGTACCAGCTTACTATGTTGGCACAGGCCAGGCACTCTGCGACCGTGTCTCCCAACTCCCTTAAGCCAGGTCTCTTTGCTGCCGTTCACCCAGCATAATAATTAGCACTCTTTTTTTTTTCTTCCTCTGTTCGGTCTGTCCAGTTTTTGGAAACTGCCTGGACTCCCCACAGTTTTCTTGAGAAGGTTTTTCCGAAGTGATTTGCCGTTGCTTCCTTCCTGGCTTGACTGGCCTGAGATAACCCAGCTGGATTTTTGCCCAAGGCACGACTAGAACTCACCACCTCCTGTTTTCTAGAGCCGTGGCTTAACCCCAGCACCAAACTGGGTCTCAGCTAGCGCTAACTTGCTACTATTTTCCTGGCTTTGCCAGTAAATTAAGCCCAGATGGAGACGGTTCAGTCCAGCATCCAGGCGGGCAATTCAACAGCCAGGTTGCCTCCCTTGTGGCAGTGGGGCCATTGATTGTCTGTTGGTTAGCCTGCGCTGCAGATGGATGGTGGAGCATCTTTGTGTGTGTGTGTGTGTATGTGTCCCTTTCTCTTTCTGAGTCCGCCCTCCGCCCTCTGCAGGTTTGCTGTGCCACCTGGACGACGCCTGCATCAGCAACCCTTGCAACGAAGGTTCGAACTGCGATACCAACCCGGTCACCGGGAGGGCCATCTGCACCTGCCCCTCGGGGTACACGGGGCCCGCCTGCAACCTGGACGTGGACGAATGCTTGCTGGGTAAGGAGGCTACCTTCCGCCTTGCGCACTGGGGCCAGGGGCACCGGGTGGGTGTGGGACCCGTGGAGCTGGCCCTGCTGACGCTGGCGCGGAAGGAAAGTCTGGTGGGGAACTGGAACAGAAAACTGGAGGCAGGGCGCCCCTTGGGAAATTTGGGGCCCAGAAAAGGCAACCTGTGAATTTTTCTTTTTATTTATTTATTAATAAAATTTATATGCCGCCCAATCCCTAGAGCAGGGGTAGGCCACCTTGGCTCTTTTATGACTCGTGGACTTCAACTCCCAGAATTCCTGAGCCAGCATGGCTCAGCTTGGAAACCTCTCCCTTTCCCCTCAGCATGGCTGGCTCAGGAATTCTGGGAGTTGAAGTCCACGAGTCATAAAAGGGCCAAGGTTGCCTACCCCTGTCCTAAGTCCTCCTGTTCTAAGCGGTGAGCCTCCTAGACCAGAGGTGGGCAACCTTGGCTCTTTTATGACTCGTGGACTTCAATTCCCAGAATTCCTGAGCCAGCACAGCTCTGCTTGGAAACCTCTCCCTTTCCCCTCAGCATGGCTGGCTCAGGAATTCTGGGAGTTAGTCCACAAGTCATAAAAGAGCTAAGGTTGCCTACCCCTGCCCTAGGGACTCAGGGCGGCGTACAAAATTAAAACAACAGGTATAACAATTAAAAATGAATACATTCACACAGCATGTCCCAATCGAATCCCGCCCCCCCTCCCCCCAGGGACATCAACCCCAGGCCTGCCAGAACAGGAGAGTTTTCTTAAAGGCCGGCAAGGTGGGAGTAGTTCGAATCTTGGGGGGAAATTGATTCCACCACGTCGGAGCCACCACAGAAAAGGCCCTTCCCCGAGGGCCCGCCAGCCGACATTGCCTGGCCGACGGGACCTGAAGGAGGCCCAATTTGTGGGACCTCACCGGTCTCTGGGAACTATGCGGCAGTATGCGGTCCTGTAAGTAACCTGGTCCTATGCCATGAAGGGCTTTAAAGGTGACAACCAACACCTTGAATTGCGTCCGGAGACCCACAGGTCATTAAGTTCATTTGCCGCCCATCTTGCCCTTTGAGGGGACTCTGAATCTAAGCGGTGTCAATTTGAAATTCATCAGCTCGTCAATTTGCTTCATGAGGGTTCCTTAACCTCCAAACATTTTATGAGACAAGGAGGATGAAATATATACTACTTTTAACTAATGGCAGTACGGATAATAATACCATCGACCCCTCGGAGAGTTCCATTGGAGCTTGGGGGGGGGTCAGTATTGACTCCTTTGAGGAACCCCAATTTGGGTGACCCAATCCAACAGGCCAGCAGCAGCCGTCTTCCTTTGGCCCAGTCAGGATGGGGGGGGCTTCTATTTACAAGGGGGAGGAAGCCTTGCAGCTGGAAAAGATGGGGCTTTTGTTTGCCCCCCCCCCATAATACAGGTAGTCCTCGGCTTACACCAGTTCATTTAGTGACCGTTCAAAGTTACAACGACCACTTTTACCCTTACAGCCGTTTCGGCACACACACACCCTCCCCGGGGTCACGTGATCAAAATTCAGATGCTGGGGAACTGGCTCCTATTTATGACCGTCACAGTGTCCCAGGCCGGGGGGGGGGGGATGATAGGATCCTTTTTGGCGACGCTCTGACAAACAAAGTCAACGGGGAAGGAGTCAGATTCATTTAACAACCGTGCGGCCCGACTTAAGAACTTGGGCGCTTCATTTAACGACTGGGGTGGGAAAGGAGGGAGCGAAAATAGGGAGCAAGACAGATGTCTTCACTTAACAGGTGTCTCCACTTAACGGCAGAAATTTTGGGCTCTGTTGCGGTCGTAAGTTAAGGACTACCTGGGTTTGGTGGAAGATTGCATGTGCCTCGTTTGCTGCAGTGCTGGTTGGACCAGAAAGACTGGACAGACAGACTGCTTTGGAATGGGGTGTGTGTGTGTGAAACGAGGACAAGGGAAAGACTCGGATAAGGACCTCTTGTAGCCCTCCTGGCTGTTCACACAGCACCGTCCAGGCACGGTGCCTCACCTCTTCTTTCCTCCACTGGCCGGACACAGGTGCCAACCCCTGCGAGCACGCTGGGAAATGCCTCAACACGGAGGGCTCCTTCCAGTGTCAATGCCAGGCGGGCTACTCGGGCCCACGCTGCGAGATCGACGTCAACGAGTGCTCCTCCAACCCTTGCCAGAACGATGCCACCTGCTTGGACCAAATCGGGGTCTTCCAGTGCATTTGCATGCCAGGTAACCCTGCCCGCCCTTCCGGGCACCGTGGTGGGCGAGTGGCGGAGGAGAAGAGGTGGCCTTGCACTCCTGTAGTACTGGGCTTGGTTTCGTAACTGCGCCATGTTTCGGGCTGCCCTCTGGTCCAGGCCCCTGGCAAGGGGGACGGCGCTGCTCCCTACGAGCCTGGGTAGGGCTGGAGCCAGGGGTGGGATTCAGATAGGCGAGCAGCCGGTTCTCTGCGTGGAGGCCACTTCCGGAAGTCCGTTCAGGGCCTGGGCAACCAAAAATTAGCTACCGGTTCTGCCGATGTGGTGCGAACCGGTGGAATCCCACCACTGCGCTGGAGCGGTGGTGGGTGAGCCAGGACCAAAATGGCTCTGGAGTCCTTTTGAACCAGGCAGGGTTGCTGCATTTGCACACCACGCCAAGCGCAGCTAAAGGCGCCAGATTGCGCTGCTTTGCCAGGTTGCTTCGTGGAACCACTTCAGGCGGGGAACTACAGGCTGCCAACTCCAAGAAACGAGGCAGCTGACAGCAGAATAAATGAACCCAACAAACTGGATTTGGGGAACAGCCACAAAAAGGCCAAGCCAGGTTTTTAAAAATCCCGATTTTTAGCAGCGACCCTGCCCCTTGGTCTTTAACTGGCATGATTCAGCATCCCGGATGAAGTCAGCTGATGGTGTGTGTGTGTGTGAGAGAGAGAGGGAGAGAGAGAGAGAGAGAGAGAGAGAGAGAGAGAGAGAGAGAGAGAGAGAGAGAGAGAGAATATCTCGTGCTATGCCCTGTTTTTCCAATTTCTTCCTTGCTCCTTCCTTCCCACTTGCCCCTGCTTTACAAAGGCCCGAATTGATCCCTTGGCGAGAGCATTGGGCATGAAGTGGCTGAGCTGGCCAGCCTCTAACCACAGCTCAGAGGACTTAAAACCTCACTCAGGGAGCCTCAGAGACACTGGAAGGGTTTGTTTCTGTGTGCCCTAAGGTTGGCACCGGGCTGCCCGGCCCTTCAGCAAAGCGACCCAAAGGAGGATGTGAAGCAGCTCTCTCGTTAAGGCAGAGTGGGAAGGCTTAGCTGCAAAAAGCGGGCAGGGTGAGGGCGCACCACAAGATTTTGTCTCGACACTCCTTGGTCTGACACGAGTCTGAGCCCAACAGGGGCTGTTTTCATAAAGCCACAGAGGGGATGGGGACAGGTTGCCTTGGGTCTTGACCAGTTGAGTAAGAAATTATAAGATAAGATAAGATAAGATAAGATAAGACAGTGATGGCGGACCTTTTAGAGACCGAATGCCCAAACTGCAACCCAAAACCCACTTATGCATCATCGGGTGCCCGGTGGGTATGGCCCATTGGGTGAATGTGGCCATTGGGTGGGCGTGGGCCATTGGGTGGACATGGCTGCAGTGGTAATGGCAGACTGGGTGGGACTAAAAAGTTCAATCAATCAATTCCAACTTTGCAAGATCTTTTTTTTCCCCCGCGAGAAATTGAAATTGATTGATTGATTGAATTTTTTTTTTTGCACACAGCAGTGGAGGCCTAAAGCGAAAAGGTTTTATAAAACCCAGCTGAAGGCCTAGGACTGGGGCGACGGCGCGTGTGCCCACAGAGAGGGCTCTGAGTGGCGCCTCTGGCACGCGTGCCACAGGTTCGCCATCCCAGAGATAAAATAACCTTTATTGTCATTTTTTTTACTGTGGGCGCAACGGCACAAATGAAATTTAGCTGCCCGCTCTGTGAAACACATACATGACACACCCCTCAAACATAGTATGTATAACCTATGTATAGACCCACACTCCTACATATCCATAGCGAATAAATATGACATACTATCCATCTTGAATATTTAACGGAAGGAGGAAGCTTGAGAGTTCACAAGGTTAATGCTGTATGGAATGAAACTATAAACTATTATGTTTATAGGTCTTTGGTTATTCGGGTTTTCTCCCACGTAAAATTGGAAGTGTCTTGGCGACGTTTCGACGAAGTCTCATTCGTCATCTTCAGGCTGGTGCTTTCGGCTTCGTGCTTCTAGGAGCAATGTGTGGTTGTAGCTGTGTTTCCTCCTTTTAACTGCCAGTGGGGGTATTATATATGTATAGAATCTTAAGCAACGGTGGGCAGTTCACCATTGCAACCACAGCAACTGTTTTGCCAATGGAAAAAGAGACTCCATTTCTCTCCCCCCCCCATTCACCACCCTTTCTCCTTCCTGCAGGCTACGAGGGTGTGTACTGTGAAATCAACACGGACGAGTGTGCCAGCAGCCCCTGTCTGCACAACGGGAACTGCGTGGACAAGATCAACGAGTTTGCTTGCCTGTGCCCTGTGGGTACGTGCAGTGGGGAGCTGGGAGGGGGGGCTTAGAGAAGCCAATTGATCTTTGCCTATAGCACAAAGCTCTTTGTAGTGGAATTAATCCCCTGGCCCAGAGGCAATGCGGAGGCTGGCGGGTTTAAGCCCAGCCAAAGGGGGCAGTTGGGGAACTGGCCAAGGGGTGTGTGTGGATCTTTTGCCTTGAGCTATTTAGCGGAGAAGGCGGTGTGCTGGGGAGGGCTCTTAAAGTTCTGAAATAAGGCATGGTTGGGAAGGAAAGCCTCCATGTCCAGCAGCTGTCTATCTCTGGATCCCCATCTTACGGGTGGGGAGAGGCACAAGGGTTGACCATAGGGGGAAGGCGTTATTTTTTAACGAACTTTTTAGAAGATTAGCAGGTGGAAAGGTGTCTCTTTTTTGGGGGGGGGGGACACAAAGAATTGCAAGGACACTGTCACAGCCTCTTCAGTGGTCGCCAGTTCTTTGTTTTGGAGTCTTAGCTGTCCTGTGTAGAGCAGTGGTTCTCAACCTTTTTAATGCCGCGACCCCCCAACCGGTCGTAAGTCGAGGACTACTCAACCGGTCGTAAGTCGAGGACTACTCAACTGGTGCAGCACAGTTTGCAGAATGGGACTTTTGGTGGGCTCAGCAGAGCAGAGACAGCCTGGACAATTCCTATTGGCTTTGGAAAGCCAGTAGAATTAGACTCTAATTGGCTTTCAAAAGCCAATTCCTATTGGCTTTTGAAAGCCAATAGAATAAAAGGGAGGAGCACAGCTAAGGAAAAGGGGGGGAAAATGGCGGACTGCGTTGTTTGGAGACCCCCGTGAAATGGTCGTTCGACCCCAAATGGGGTCCCCACCCACAGGTTGAGAACCACTGGTGTAGAGGATGCCTGGGATGGGGTTGTCCCCCCCGTAGCATTTATGAACAGGGCAGAAAGAGAAAAGACGAAGGGGTTTCATTGGTGCCCCCCTTGATGCCTCCCTAGCTCAGCCCAAAATAGGGGGGGGGGGTTTAGCCTGGTGGTGGAAAGGAAAGTGGGTGAAGAGAGCAAGTGAAGACTTAGGCACCGACAGGAGGGGCTGTTTTTCTGTGAATTCCTGGCTTTATCCCAACCCTGGCTTTTGTGGACTGCGTACAGAGCCCACCTTTTCCTTGGCATTCGGATGAGGATCTGCTTTAGGTTGATCCCCTTGAAGTAGGCTGGGCTAAGAGTCCTATGGCTTAGCGGGGAGTCGCCCCTAAGTCTCCTTAGTCCAGGCCAACCTTATAAGCCGGGGGTCTCCAAACTTGGCCCTTTTATGACTTGTGGACTTCAACTCCCAGAATTCCTCAACCAGCGTTGCTGGCTGAGGAATTTATTTATTATTTATTTATTTATGAGACTTATATACCGCTTTAAGTGCGAGCACTCTCCAAGCGGTGTACACCAGTAAGCAATGTGTGTGTGTGTGTGTGTGTGTGTGTGTGTGTGTGTGTGTGTGTGTGTATATATATATATAAAAAACCCGAACAACCAAAGACCTACATACAAATACCCGCGAAAACCTCAGAAAACATATACATACATATATATATATATATATTTACATTGCCCCCAACAATCTGGGTCCTCATTTTACCTACCCCGGAAGGATGGAAGGCTGAGTCAACCTGGAGCCGGTGAGATTTGAACCGCTGACCTGCTGAACACAGTCAGCTAAAGTGAATTCTGGGAGTTGAAGTCCACAAGTCATAAAAGGGCCAAGTTTGAAGACCCTTGTTATAAGCCCTGCCCTCTTAAATCCTCTCTCACCTGTAGCCAGGTCAGATCGCTTAAACAACTGCAGTGATTTGCTTAATTATAGCAAAAAAAAAAAAGGTCACACTCAACAGCTTCCTTGCTTAGCAATGGAAATTCTAGTCCCAATTGTAGTCATAAGTGGAGGACTCTTATAAGTTGATTGTAGCCAATGCAGAGAGAGAGAGAGAGAGAGAGAATTCTGCAGAGAATTAAAAAGGGACGATTTGCGGATTCATTCCTGCCTCTTCTGTCTGCGAGAGCGAAGAGTTTTGGGCCTGAAGGAGCCCCCTTCTATTTGGGAATAGCTGGAGGGGGGAATGTTGAGTTTGTGGGGTGGAGCAAGGGGATGGGAACGCAGCTCATTTGTAATTCATAAAAGGGCTTTGAAGCGGAGGCTTTAGAGATGTAAATCATGAATCTTCAGGGCTGCGGCAGCCGAATAACTATTGCGGTGAGCTGAGAAGCAAAGTCTGGGGACTGAATGCCAATGAATTGGAAAGAGACGCTGAAATCTGGGCCGTCTGCATGGCAAGCGGCGTGGCTTTTGGGGGTGGGTGACTGTTTTTGTAGGAAAAAAAGTCATCATTACAGCCTCATTTTTATGTCTTAATTATCTGGCTGTAAGACCAGCAGAGTCAATTGGTTGAGAACAGCATACGAGCGTTAAAAACATTGCTGCAAAAACTGGGCTCAAATGGGCAGCTGAGCTGGTGGTTTAGTTGTGTGAACAGATGACCCAGACCCACCAGTATGTGGTTGATTCATCGGAAGTGGCGTGTTTTAACATGTGCTAAAACATACGAAGAACGGTTGCAGGATTTGGGTTTGGCTGCTTTAATGACGAGAAGGATGAGCGGTGACATGATAGCATCTTCCAATATTTGAGGGGCTGCCACAAAGAAGAGGGGGTCAGGATATTCTCCAAAGCACCTGAAGGCAGGACAAGAAACCATGGATGGAAAGTAACCAAGGAGAAAAGCAACCTGGAATTAAAGAGAAACTTCCTAACAGTGAAAACAATTAACCAGAGGAACAGAAGTTGCTTCCAGAAATTGTCTGGAATTGTATAGAGCAGTGGTTCTAAACCTGTGGGTTGAACGACCATTTCACGGGGATCGCCAAACAACGCAGTCCACCATTTTAACCTTTTCCTTAGCTGTGCTACTCCCTTTTATTCTATTGGCTTTTGAAAGCCAATAGAATAGACTCTCTTGAATAGAGTCTAATTCTATTGGCTTTCCAAAGCCAATAGGAATTGTCCAGGCTGTCTCTGCCCAGCTGAGCCCGCCCAAAGTCCCATTCTGCAAACGGTGCTGCACCAATTGAGTAGTCCTCGACTTACGACCGGTTGAGTAGTCCTCGACTTACGACCGGTTGGGGGGGTCGCGGCATTAAAAAGGTTGAGAACCACTGGTATAGAGTCTATCCAAGGTCCCTTCCCACTTTGTCATTCTCTTATTCTGTTTTGCAAATGCTTGTTTTGTGACCCTGTTTTAGGCCGTGAGGCTGTTTGCAAAAGAATAACTGGGAAAGCTTTTGGCAGCAAAATCCACGTTTGGGGACATCTCGCTGATCCATATATTAAGATCCCAAATATCTGGATCTCATTCTTCATCTGTCTGAGAAAATGGAGGGCGATGAGCAAAAATTATGCAATTGTCAGCCCTGCAGTCCTCTTGGGCTTTCATTTGGATCAGCGGCCACAATTTTAGTTTCTGTCGTGAAATAAAAGTCCCTGTGGTGGGGAAGCCAAACGCCTGGTGAGGAGGGAGGCCAGTGGAAACACTGATTTGCCGTTATTGCAGCCAAAAGTGGATAGGCTGGGAAGGCAAGAGGACATGGGGACGCGGGAAGCCCCGGTGGCATGTCTTCATTTGATTTTGATTTCATTTCTCAGGATGCTTTTGGGGGCAAGATGGGGAGGGAGTCCTTCTGGGCGCAGGAACTAGCCATCATTATTAAAATATCTGGCTGAAGCCGACGTCAGTCATCCCAAAATGCTGATAGAAAAAAGCGTTGAATGGACTCTTGGAAATCCATCAAGTTGCAGTTTTATTTTCTGCTTGTCTAGTCGCATGCCCTTCCTTGCATGGTTTAAAAGAGGGGGGGGGGGAATACTTCTGCCCCTCCCTCCCCCCAACCTACTTCCATTAAACCCTTCTATCGTTTTGAATCCCTGTTTGCTTAGGGAAGACGCAACAAAATCTGTGCCTCTGTGTGATGGGCAGAAAAAGCCCCCCCTTGATTTCAAGGGGTTCTTTGGCAGGGGGGGAGAGCAAGCAGGAGCCAAAGAATCCTGGGTTAAGCTTGTCTCTGTTTCTCCCCCTGCTCCCCCCCCCAGGATTTAATGGTCACCTGTGTCAACACGACATTGATGAATGTGCCAGCACACCCTGCAAAAACGGAGCCAAATGTGTGGATGCGCCAAACGCTTACGTGTGTGAATGCACAGAAGGTAAGCTGTGGGGTGGGGTGGGCAGAACAGAGGAAGCCCATTTGGTCAGTCTTTTTGACCAGGTCCTGTTGGTGACAGTGAGCAACTAAAAACCATGCAAAAAAGTGTGATGGGATGCTAAGCAAGTGCAGCTGTTTTCATCCACAAAACACAGTTTCTAACACTTGCTGTGGGAGCAGAGGAAAAGTGCCCAAATGCCGGGCTCGTGGTTCAGGAACCAAGATTCCCACTCTGGTTCTGAGCAGGCAGCTTTACTGCACAGGGGAAAAATGGGGCACGGTCTGGGTGACTGGCCTGGGGCCGTTTCTCAGGGTGGGGTGCCGCTGTTCCCTTTGATTTTCTCTCTAACTGAGTCTTGGTTTTAACGGGCAGGATGCTCACTGCTGATATGATATGGGGGAAAAAATGTGTATCTGTTGTTGCAGTGGAGAATTTTGCAAATATATCCCTAAAAGGGAAGAATGGAAGATTCTTCTAAATTTCTCCTTTCAGAAGCACTGAACAGGGAGGTCTTGTTTGGTGACCGATGAAGAAGCCTGCGGGGGTTTAAAGCTTGCTGAATCTTGGGGGAATCTCTCTCTCTCTCTCACACACACACACAAAACTTCCTCATCTCGTGGGTAGCCCCTGGGCACTGGCTGTTTACAGAAGGCCACGTGGATCAGGGAACAGCACCAGCATGATGGCCACATGCTGACCAAAATGATAAGCGTAACTCCTGTCCCGGCTTTCTGCTTTGGCCCCGGGCAGAGTGTTGTCTGCGTCTCCCTGAACCTCTTCTACAAACAGTGTGTGTTGCTGCTCCCATTTCCTGCCCGATGGGGCTGAGGGCGTCCCGAATTCAATTTAAAGTTCACTTTAAAGTTCAGTGCCAATATCCCCCCCCCAAGTGGAAGCACCAAAAGAAAACCAGGCCTAAAGCAGAATCTTTGGCAACACGCTTTCTTTTTCCAGCTGTCCCCAAGTTCTTCCACCTTGCAGGCCTGGCCCTGAGGGAGAAAGGAACAGAAAAAGGAAAAAGGGGGAAAAAAAACCCCACACAAAGTCAACTGTGTCTGTGATAGTGCTGCAAATGTTTCAGCTCTGAGCTGAGGGAGGCGGGAGAGAGAGAAAGGGGGGGCACCCCATTTCCTGCCTCCCGGCTCTGTCCGGACTTTTCCCCATCCTGGCTTCAAAACCAAATTTGGGGGCTAGTCAGCGAGCCCCGTCTGGGCACCGTCCCCCTTTTTTTCTGGCCCCACGTCTGCTGAGCGGGAGGAAGGAGGGCGGCGCAGGGCCGGGTGTGCTGGGCGAGGGAAACGCGAGGCGCCCTTGGACAAAACCCAGCCCGGCCTGGAGCCCCCTCGGCAAACAGAGGGACTTTTGTGGGGCCGGCCGGCTGCCAGCAGCTCTTCCCTAATGAGCGATGAAAAAGCCGCAATGTGGGCTTCCCGGGCGGGGAGGGGGGCAGGGGCAGTCAAAGGCCCACTTTGTCTGCCCGCTTGCACCCCCCCCCCTCCGCCGCCCTCCTGCTTTTGTCCACTGCCTCCCGGCGGGAGGCGGGTGGGCGAGAGAAAGGGGCTGCTGTTGTCCCCTTTTGAATTCACTGCGCCCCCCCTCCCCACCAAGCCGGATCCAGACAGGCATGGAGGAGAGCCCAGAGCTGGCTGGGAGGGGGGGGGACCACGGGAGACAGAAGAAAAAAGCGTTTGTGTTTGCAAGAGGACAGAGCTTCCACCCCCCACCCCTCCCCAAGCCCAGCTTGGTGCTGTGCCTTGGCCTGGCGGCCTCCCTGCCACCCTCCCTGTCTCCTGCCCACATCCCCTGCAACATCGCAGGGGCCACGGGGACAGGCCTGCCGTGGGGGGGGGCTGAACCCCCAAAGGCGCCCCACCAAGGGCGAGCAAAAGCCACGACTGCCCGTTTTGCGTGGAAGGAAGGGAACTCGCTCCGGGAGTCCCCCCCAACGCTGCAAAACGGTCATGCCTGTTTATCTGAGTTTCTTCCACCCACCACCCCCCCAGAGAGAGAGAGAGAGCATTTTTTGCTTTGGGTACCCTGATTTTGTCGCCAGCCCCCCCCGTCCACGCTTTCTGAACGTCCCAGAGTTTGGAGGGCTGGGGGGGGGAGAGGCAGAAACAAGAACGGCCTTCTGTAGCACACAAGCTTCCCCCCCTTGATTAATATTCTTTTGAACGCAAAGAATTGGGCTTTTTAGGGATGGAGGTCAGGGTTCTCGCGCGCTCCCAGCAAGACGCTGGGGAGGGAGGGTGGCATTGGGGGCCACCACACTCTCCTCTGTGACCCTTCCCCGGTTGCCCACCCAGCCTACTCCTTTTCCTTCCCATGGACTGCCACCCTTCTGGCTGGGGACCCTGGGAGGTGGAGTCCGTCCTGGGGGGGTAAGAAAGGACAGTATTTAGCAGGCAAGCTCGTGTCTAGCTACTGGGTTTCTAACCAGAGTTAAGGGCAATCAGCTGGGGAACATATAAGAGCCGAGGTGGCGCAGCAGTGAGAGTGCAATACTGCAGGCCACTTCAGCTGACTGTGTTCAGCAGGTCAGCGGTTCAAATCTCACCGGCTCAAGGTTGACTCAGCCTTCCATCCTTCCGGGATAGGTAAAATGAGGACCCAGATTGTTGGGGGCAGTGTAAATATATATATATAAACAATGCTTACTGGTGTACACCGCTTAGAGAGTGCTTGCACTTAAAAGCGGTATATAAGTCTCATAAATAAATAAATAAAGCGGTATATAAGTCTCATAAATAAATAAAATAAATAAACATCCCCGGAAGCGTCTGCTGGCCAGCTGAGCACTAGAAGAAATCAGCTGCTCTTCCCGGCGCCTGGTGGAGGGGAGAAGGATACCCCGATTTCTCTCTTGGTTGCCCCCTGGAAGAAATGCCACTGGGACTTTGGGGTGCCATGTTTCAGCCTTTTTGAGTCTTTCTCTGCACCTTCTTCCTGCTCTCTGCCCCCCCCCCCAGGCTTTTCCGGTACCCACTGTGAGACGGACATCAACGAATGTGACCCTGATCCCTGCCACTACGGCACCTGCCAGGATGGTATTGCCTCCTTTACCTGCCTCTGCCAGCCTGGGTACACTGGGCACCTCTGTGACGTCAACATCAACGAGTGCCAAAGCCAGCCCTGCAAGAATGGGGGCACCTGTCAGGACAGGAACAATGCCTACACCTGCTCCTGCCTCAAAGGCACTACAGGTAAGGCAGGGGTGGGGCTTCCCTGGCCTTCCCCCCCCCCCCAAAGGATGGAGCGGAGCCATCTTGCTCACCAGTCTGAGGTCGCCCCAGGCATTTGAGGCCAAGGAAAGGCGACCTGGAGATGCTTGGGCCTGGCCCACCGGGTAGTCCTTGATTTACAGCTGGTTTGCTTAGAGCAGGGGTCTTCAAACTTGGCCCTTTGATGACTTGTGGACTTCAACTCCCAGAATTCCTCAGCCAGGCACGCTGGCTGAGGAATTCTGGGAGTTGAAGTCCACAAGTCATCAAAGGGCCAGGTTTGAAGACCCCTGGCTTAGACGCAGTGTTTCTCAACCTTGACAATTTTAAGGCATGTGGACTTCAACTCCCAGAATTCCACAGCCAGCATTGCTGGAGTTGAAGTCCACATGCCTTAAAAATAAAATTGTCAAGGTTGAGAAACACTGGCTTAGAGTGTTTGAAGTTATGACTGATACCACCCCCAGCTCATTCACATAAACCTTGACAACCAGCTCACATTCATGGATATTTGCAACCTCCCACAGTCACATGACTGCAATTTAGGATTTTGTGTGTGTGTGTGTGTGTGTGTGTGTGTGTTTTACAAAACTCAGCATTTACTTCTGTTTTTTGGAAAAAAACAGTTCCTAGTGGTGGCGCAGTGGTTAGAATGCAGTATTGCAGGCTATTTCTGCTGACTGCCAGCAGTTCGTTCTCACCCGCTCAAAACTGACTCAGCCTTCCGTCCTTCCGAGGTCGGTAAAATGAGGACCCAGATTGTTGGGTCCAGAGTTGAACCCAGGTCTGCAAGGAAATGGTTCCCCTTATCGCTGGCAGGACTCTGGCGAACACCCCAAATAAACCTTTGCCCGGCAAGGCAAATTCTGGGTCTCGCCCAAGTTGGCCGGTCATTGCATAATATTTTAATTTTGCAGTTTTGTCTTGTGGATGATGGTTTTGCTGGTCATCAGAAAGTCCCATTGCTACAGGCCCCAAAAGCTTGCTTCACTATTTGTTTGTCCCTTGCCTGTCAGGTGGGAGGGAGTTTCCTTTCGACTTTATAAGGTCTCAACTTGCGCACCTCTCCGTCCCTGGATTTCAACCAGAGAAACTTTCTTAAAACGATGCTGAGATTTTTCAGAGCCTCACTTGGGGGGAAACTGTGGCCTAACTCTCAGTCACTGAGAAGAAAAGGGGCGTTACGTTTTCGTGTGTGTGTGTGTGTGTGTGTGTGTGTGTGTGTGTGTGTGTGTGAGAGAGAGAGAGAGAGAGAGAGAGAGAGAGAGAGAGACTGAGATAGTCTGAAAGCATCACAAATGCCTTTAGCTCAGTGTTTCTCAACCTTGACAATTTTAAGGCATGTGGACTTCAACTCCCAGAATTCCTGGCTGGCTGTGGAATTCTGGGAGCTGAAGTCCACATGCCTTAAAATTGTCAAGGTTGAGAAACACTGCAAGTTTAGCTTCACGGGGTTCCCAGTCCTGGACCGTTTTGCTAACCGCTCTTTTCTTTTTCCAAGGACCCAACTGTGAAATCAACCTGGACGAGTGTGCCAGCAACCCGTGTGATTATGGCAAATGTGTGGACAAGATCAACGGTTACGAATGCGCCTGTGAGCCAGGATACACAGGTGAGGGAGGGCGGGAGAGACGCGAGCATGGGGGCCCTCCCCCTGTGGGCTTTGCATTCCCCCCCCCTCCCCGGGACAGGGTCCCCACTGGCTCCTCTCCTCTCCGCAGGGAGGATGTGCAGCATCAACGTGGACGAGTGCGAAAACAGCCCTTGCCACAACGGGGGCACCTGCCGGGATGGCATCAACGGTTTCACCTGCCTGTGCCCGGAAGGCTTCCATGACCCCTTGTGCCTCTCGGAAGTGAACGAATGCAGCAGTAACCCTTGCGTCCACGGGAGATGCCACGATGGGCTGAACGGGTGAGCGGCGGGCAAGGCTGCGCCAGGCGGGAGGGGCACCCTGGGAAATGTGACCGTTTGTGATGGAGGCTTTGGGGGGGGATTACTCTCTGGCGCATCCGGCCCTCTCGGTTCCTGGCAAATCATGGCATCCGGCCCTCTCCATTCCTGGCAAATAGATGGGGAAGAAATGGAGGTAGTGGTAGATTTTATCTTCCTGGGCTCCAAGATCATCTCAGATGGGGACTGCAGCCAAGAAATTAAAAGACGCTCCTGGGGAGGAAAGCTATGGCAAATCTAGACAGCGTACTAAAAAGCAGAGACATCACCCTGCCAACAAAAGTACGTATAGTCCAGGCCATGGTCTTCCCAGTTGCAATGTATGGCTGTGAAAGTTGGACCATAAGAAAGGCTGAGCGCCAAAGAATGGAGGCCTTTGAACTCTGGTGCTGGAGAAGACTCCTGCGAGTCCCCTGGACTGCAAGGCGATCCAACCGGTCAGTCCTAGAGGAGATCAACCCCGACTGCTCTTTAGAAGGCCAGATCCTGAAGTTGAAACTCAGGTACTTTGGCCACTTAATGAGAAGGAAGGACTCACTGGAGAAGAGCCTGATGCTGGGAAAGATTGAGGGCAGTAGAAGAAGGGGACGACAGAGAATGAGGTGGCTGGATGGAGTCACTGAAGCAGTAGGTGTGAACTTAAAGGGACTCCAGAATATTCCACCATATCTTAATCCAAAAAGTCATTTTGAAGAGCACAAGGGAGAAATGGGGGTGCCCATCTCTAGAAGGCACCAATAACGCCCAACAATGATGAGTTGGACCTATTTTTATTCTTCCAGAGACGATTTTAGATTCACTAAGTATTATTTGGCGGCTGGGGATAATGCAATGTTGGCCTGCTGTTCTTGTGCTTCTACCGATGATGTTTTTTAAAGGTGGTTGGTTCACTGCACCGTAAAAGGGGTTTGAGTGGCATTGAAAGACGAGGGTTTTAAAAGAAAAGCAGCCCAATCCAATCACCTGGTGCTTTGTTTCTCTCCTCTGGAATCAAAGCTACAAGTGTGACTGCGACCCAGGCTGGAGTGGGACAAACTGTGACATCAACAACAACGAATGTGAGTCCAACCCTTGTGTGAACGGTGGAACCTGCAAGGACATGACCAGTGGCTACCTTTGCACCTGTCAGGAGGGATTCAGTGGTAAGATCCTGGACTTCACCCACAGCTTTGCCCCTTTAAAAGTCTGGCCAAGTCACGGCAAATTAGGTTTTTTTCCCCTAAACATTGATCACCAGCTTAGAAGAGGAAGTCATCAAGAAAAGGAAGTCAAGCTGCTATCAATAAATCACCCTTGACTAAATTGCAAGGGCTTAGTTAAATATCTGTCCAAGAGAGGGTTGAGTTGGTGGGGAGGTGGGCCACCAAAGCAATTGACCTCAATCTGACCCCTCCAGCTGTTTTGGGGAAGCCATCGGAAAGTCTAGCTCCATATTTCTCAACCTTGATAACGTTAAGGAATTCAACTCTCAAATTGGCTGGGGAATTCTGGGAGTCAAAGTCCTTAAAGGTGCAGAGGTTGAGGAACATTGGTCTAGCCCAGGGGTAGGCAGCCTCGGCTCTTTTAGGACTGGTGGACTTCAACTCCCAGAATTCCTGAGCCAGCCATGCTGAGGGGAAAGGGAGAGGTTTCCAAGCTGAGCCAGGCTGCCTCAGGAATTCTGGGAGTTGAAGTCCACCAGTCATAAAAGGGCCATGTTTCAAGACTCCTGGTTTAAATATTTAAATATTTTTTCCTCACGGTCACGTGATCAAAATTCTCGCATTTGGGCAGGGGTAGGCAGCCTTGGCTCTTTTATGACTGGTGGACTTCAACTCCCAGAATTCCGGAGCCAGCCATGCTGAGGGGAAAGGGAGAGGTTTCCAAGCTGAGCCATGCTGGCTGAGGAATTCTGGGAGTTGAAGTCCATGAGTCATAAAAGAGCCAAGGTTGCCTACCCCTGGCCTAGGCCTAGGTGGCTTTATGACTGATGGACTTCAACTCCCAGAATTCCTGAGCCAGCATGGGGGAAACTTTGGCCCCTTCATGACTGGTGGACTTCAACTCCCAGAATTCCTGAGCCAGCCTGGCTCAGCTTGGAAACCTCTCCCTTTCCCCTCAGCATGGCTGGCTCAGGAATTCTGGGAGTTGAAGTCCACGAGTCCTGAAAGAGCCAAGGTTGCCTACCCCTGGTCTAGCCTGTTGCTGTTCCAGATTGGGAAAGAACCCCTCGGTGGCTTTGTGGTCACCCAGATGCAGGTGGGACCCTGTCGATCTCCTTCTTTCCCCCAGGACCCAACTGCCAGGTCAACATCAACGAATGTGCCTCCAATCCTTGCCTGAACCAGGGGACGTGCATCGATGACGTTGCTCGCTACCAGTGCAACTGCCTCCCGCCCTACACTGGTGAGAGAAGCAACTCTTCGGTGGGGGGCTTCGGTCAGAGAGAAACGTGCCCAGGGGGTCCCAGAATAGCTGGGAGCAGACGAAGAAGCCTCACACGCTTCTGGTTTCTCTTGCGTTTCTGCGCCGTGAAGGGAATGGACTTCCTGTCCGTCTGGCTTGCTCACTTTCCCTTCTTGGTCTCCACTGCCCACCACGAAGCTTCTGGCCACCAAGCATTGCACATTGCTGACCCAAAGCAAGCAGCTCCAGCTGAGGGAATCTCTGGTGGAAGAGAAGGGGGGGGATTCATCCCCCTCCCTGAGGGGCCTTAAAATCTTCGGGGTAGTTGCTGATTTGCCTTTTCCCAAACAGTCATTAGGGACCGTTCCAAAGTTACAACAGGACTGAAAAGAGTGACTTAGGACAATGGTCCCTGACCTTTGTGGCTTGGTGGCCCAGCTCGGGGGGGGGGGGAAGAGGGACCCAGGCCGCGTGAGCAGTGGGCCGGCACACATGTGCGTGCATGCACAGCTCCACTTACGTGAGCGGCGGGCTGGAGTGCACGCGCACACACCTGCAGCTCAACTTAACGAAGGTTGAGTTGCACGCGCCTGTGCACACACGCCGGCCAGCTGCTTGCACCGGTTGAGCTGCGCATGTGCACGCTGGCCCACCGTTTGTACGGCCCGGTTCCAAATAGGCCACGGCCTGGTAGTAGCCGTGGCCTGGAGGTTGGGGACCCCTGATTTATGACCATTTTTCACACTTAGGACCATTGCAGCACCCCCATGGTCACGGGATCAACTTTCAGATACACTGTGCAAATGACTCATATTTATGACGGTCACGGCATCCTGGGGCCACGTGATCCCCTGTTGCGGCTTTCTGACCGCAGAGTCCATGGGGGAAGCCAGATTCTCTTCCTTTTTTGAAATTTTTTTATTTTTTAAACATACAATCATTTATAAAAATACAATAAAATTTTAAAGTAGAACCCCCCCCCTTACCCTCCCTCCCACCCCCAATCCCCCTCCCTTCCCAGAGCAGAATACAGGGTCAATTTAAAAAAATTATAATAATTAAAAAAAAAGAAAAAAAAAGAAGAAAAAAAATATCATAATTAACCTTTAACTCCATAACCTATAAAACAATTCTCTATAATATTTAATATTCATTCATAAAATAAATGAAACTTTTTAATTCCATACTTTTTCTGAATATAATCTATCCATCTTCCCCATACAGTAATATATCTTTCTTGTGTATGATCCTTTAAATAAGCAGAAATTTTTGCCATTTCTGCAAGACTAGATACTTTAAATATCCATTCTTCTAAAGTAGGCAAAGAATCTTTCTTCCAATATAAACCTAATAGTAACCTTGCTGCAGTTAATAAATTCAACATCAAAGTAGTTTCTTTTTCATTTAAGTCAACAAAAATACCAAGTAAAAATAGTTGAGGAGTAAACTTTTATCTTTTTTCTAAAAATCTTTTGAATGTTCTCTTAACAAGTGTGTGACTAGCTTAACAACTCGCAGTGATTCACTTAACAGACGTGGCGAGGAAGGTCGTAAAATGGGGCAAAATTCACTTAACAAACCTCCCACAGAGCAACGGAAATTTGGGGCTGCGTTATGGTCGTAAGTGGAGGACTGGCTGTATCTGATCCCCACCCTCCGCTGCTCCTTTGCTCTCCGCCTCAGACAGGACACCCTCCGGTCTTCCCTGAATCAGGCGGCGTCATCGGAGAGATTTAAGCTGTTTTGTGGCTTTCCTGCCTCCAGAAATCCTAGGATGAGATTTGCTTCTTTCCTTCCGTTTTCCTATACACGCTTCTCAGTGGCCCCCACCTCAGATTCCCCCTCGTGCAAAATCTCCCGCCACTAAGCGGCCCTTGTGGGGCCAGGGTCCCTTTTCTGGTTTCGCAAGCTTGGCCCGTGGGCCCCCCCTTTCGGGAAAAAAGGCGCCTTGCCCCATCCCGAGCCCCGCAGGGCCGGCGTTGCTGCCTCTCTGCCCGTTTCCTGCTTCCTCCTGCTGCACAGAATGACCAGCTCTGCACAATTGGAGGAAGTTGTGACTTTCCTGCCTTTGCCGGTTGCTGGGGAAACAACCCCGGAGATTTTGGGGGCGGGAGGGGGGGGCTGAGGGTGGGTGAGCCCAGAGAACGTTCTGGAAAACAGAAAGCAGGCCCCGTTAGGAGGGCAGGAGGGCGTCAGTAAGCAGGAAAGGAAGGCTGGATAAGGGGAGGGGGCTTTCTCCCTGCCCTTAATCCACATCAGGGTCACCGAGCAGCCACAGGGGACGTTGGAGGGGGCTGTTTGGACAACTCCCACTTCTCCGGTGTCCACAGCGTGGATGAATTCCTTCCCCAAGGAGAAATAATTCATCCTTGCAGAAGGTCCGGTGTAGCCTGGCTGCTCTCAGGTGGGCCTGGGGGGCAGCCCTCTGCTGCTCATAGCCGGGCTCTATTGTGCAGTGGTGGGTCAGCCCCACTGCCTGTCATCTCAGCTGCTTGTGCCCTAGATCAGTAGTGGCGAACCCATGGCACGGGTGCCAGAGGCGGCACGCAGAGCCCTCTCTGGGGGGCACGCATGCCGTCGCCCCAGTCCTAGGCCTTCAGCTGGGTTTTATAAAACCCTTTCGCTCTAGGCCTCCGCCGCCGTGTGCAAAAAAGAAAGATTCAATCAATCAGTCAATTTCAACTTCTCGCAGGAAAAAAAAAGATCTCGCAAGTTGGAATTGATTGATTGAACTTTTTAGTCCCACCCAGGTTACACCCACCCAATGGGCCACGCCCACCCGGCACCCGAAGATGCATAAGTGGGTTTTGGGTTGCAGTTTGGGCACTCGGTCTCTAAAAGGTTCGCCATCCCTGCCCTAGATCAGGGATCCTCAACCTTTCTGTGTTGGCGGCCCGGTGGGAAAAGGAGGGACCGGTACCTTTATGCGTGCATGCGCCCATGCTAGTGTGGCTGGGTGCACATGCGCGCAAACAGGGCAGCGAGCATGCATGCTTCGCAAATGGGGCTGCTAGCGGCGGTGCGAGGCTCACGGCTCGGCTAGCACCGGCGCAATGGAGGGTGAGTGCGTGCCCACACTGGCCAGCCACTCACGCGGCCCAGTGGCCAAGAGGGCCCGGCCCGGCCCATAGGTTGGGGACCTCTGCCCTAGATGCAGCCCAGGGCTTCTTGGGCAACAGGATGGCAAGGAAGTAAGGCGGGCAAAGGGCTGCAGCCAACCTGGGTTTTCTTCCCCACCGTAGGTCCCACCTGCCGAGAAGTGCTGGCGCCCTGCGCGGAGGGTCCCTGCAAGAATGGCGGCCAATGCAGAGAGTCGGAGGACTACGAGAGCTTCTTGTGCACCTGCCTTCCGGGATGGCAAGGTACAGGGGGGTACAAGGCTGCCCCCTTGGGGTTTCTGATGGGTCACCGTTCAGGCCGGCAAGGGCAGACTCCAAAAGGCGATCTGTGAGGAAATGAACTAAAGTAGCAGAGTTGGAAGGGATCTTGTAGGTCAGTGGTGGCGAAACTATGGCACGTGTGCCAGAGGCAGCACTCAGAGCCCTCTCTGTGGGAACGCGCGCTATGCCCCGGAGATGGCAATTGCCCCTCTTCAACTAGCCGCCCGCTAACTCGCTGAGGTCCCACATGGCCGGATGCATCCCAGCACCCATGTGCTCGCTGGCCTCTGTGCAGGGGCCGATGGTGTCAGGCAGCAGCCACCCCGGCCCTTGCCTCGCCTTGCCCTGTGACAATGGCACCCCCACCTTGCCTCGCCTCACCCCGCAGGACAAGCCTCCTGCCCACTGCCCCACCTGCCAGAGACCCCCTGGATTTCCCCCAACCCTGCCCGGCCCCCACAGGCATCCCTCCCTATGAGCAACATCGAGGTGACCACGACCACCTGGGCCACAGCCACCCAGTCTGTCATGACCACCCCAGCCACGTCTACCCAATGGGCTACGCCCACCTGGCATCCGGTGATAAATAAGTGGGTTTTGGGTTGCAGTTTGGGCACTCGGTCTCTCAAAGGTTCGCCATTGCTGTTGTAGGTCATCTCGTCCAGGGGTAGGCAACCTTGGCTCTTTGATGACTCGTGGACTTCAACTCCCAGAATTCCTGAGCCAGCGTGGCTCAGCTTGGAAACGTCTCCCTTTCCCCTCAGCATGGCTGGTTCAGGAATTCTGGGAGTTGAAGTCCACCAGTCATAAAAGAGCCAAGGTTGCCTACCCCTATTCCAGAGACTCAACATCTTTCTAAAGCAGTGGTTCTCAACCTGTGGGTCGGGACCCCATTTGGGGTCGAACGACCATTTCACGCGGGTCGCCAAACAACAACGCAGTCCGCCATTTTTTCCCCCTTTTCCTTAGCTGTGCTACTCCCTTTTATTCTATTGGCTTTTGAAAGCCAATAGAACAGACTCTCTTGAATAGAGTCTAATTCTATTGGTTTTCAAAAGCCAATAGGAATTGCCCAGGCTGTCTCTGCCCTGCTGAGCCCGCCAAAAGTCCCATTCTGCAAACGGTGCTGCACCAGTTGAGTAGTCCTCGACTTACGACCGGTTGGGGGTCACGGCATTAAAAAGGTTGAGAACCACTGATTTAGAGCATGGATTGGGTGGTGATGGGGGGTGGGCAGTTTGGCCTTGCCCTGCAAGATGCAAAATTGACTTTCATCTCCTTTCCCCTGTCACCATCCGGGGCTGTGGTGCTTTTTTAGAAGCTGCTCATCCATCCCTCTCTGAAATGGATCACTACTGGCGACCTTCTGTAAAAGATGAAAGTGGTACTTGAGGTCATTTGCATGACCCAGTGGCATGGTCAATCAGAATAGGGCTGGGAGGCCCCTTGGAGGTCTTCTAGTCCAGCCCCCTGCTCGAGCAGGAGAACCTATGCCATTTCAGACCAGTGACTGTCCAGTCTCTTCTTAAAAACCTCCAGGGATGGAGCACCCATGATTTCTGGTGGCAAGCTGTTCCACTGGTTAATTGTCCTCACTGTTAGGAAGGTTCTCCTTAATTCCAGGTTGCTTCTCTCCTTGATTAGCTTCCATCCATCGCTTCTTGTCTTTTCCTCTGGTGCTTTGGAGAATGCAGAACTCAACTTTTAGGATCTGGTATTAGCTGGTTGCAAGGCAATAATAAATTAATGTTCAATTAAATAACTCCTCAGTGCAACATCAGATGGATTTTATTCTGCTCTTCTCTGCCCCAGCTCTTACCGCCGGCAGAAAGAAGCCGGCATCTTTTTAAAAAGGGCAGCCCTTTACCACTAACCACAACTTGGTGCTTTGGAGAATAGGTTGACCCCACTCTTCTTTGTGGCAGCCCCTCAAATATTGGAATACCGCTGTCGTGTCCCCCCTGGTCCTTCTTTTCTCTAGACTGGCCATCCCCAATTCCTGCAAGCGTTCTTCGTGTGTTTTAGTCTCCAGGCCTTGGATCATCTTAGTCGCTCTTCTCTGCCCTTTTCCCGACATCTTTTTTGTAACGGGGTGACCGAAACTGCAGCATTCCAAGCATGGTCTCCCTTCGCTTCTCAGGGCAAACTTGTGAGGTTGACATCAACGAGTGTGTCAAGAGCCCCTGTCGGAATGGTGCCACGTGCCAAAACACCAACGGGAGCTACCGCTGCGTGTGCAAATCCGGCTTCACCGGGGAGAGCTGTGAAACTGACATCGATGACTGTCAACCCAGTAAGAATGGGCCAGGAAACAAACTCTCAATTAGGGCTTGTCCCGGGGGGGGGGGCCCAAGGATGAACTGAGCTGGGCGGAGGGGGGCAGGAGCCTCCGGGGAGCCGATCTGGTGCCCTTTCAATGGAGAAAACTGTCTGCCCCACCATCTGTCTGCCCCACTGTCTGGCCCACACTGCCCTCCTCACCATCTGGGCACGCAGGAACGTATCTGCAGGTCAGCTGCTTGGGGACGGTGGTCTTGGGGGACACGGGAGGGAAAAAAGGTCTCTCTCCCTTTGCAAAGTGTGGGGGTGTGTGGGTGGGTGTGGGACATCCCTTGGCTTCTTATCCCAGAAACACCGCCCCACGGATTTAAATTCCTGGAAGGCAGTTTCCAGGCCCGCTAGAAGCAGGGCCCAGAGGTGTGGGGTTCACTTTCCGGGGGGGTGTTGAAGAGGGCACGGAGGGCAGAGATGCTCCTGCATTGATTGGGAGGGCTCCCCACAGACCCCCTTCCCTCCTCCTGGTGCTCTGAATGCGATGCCAGTCTGCTTATCTCTTCCCCCCCGCCCCCCCAGATCCCTGCCACAATGGGGGCTCCTGTTCTGACGGCGTCACCGGCTTCGTCTGCAACTGCCTGGCGGGCTTCCAGGGCCCCAAATGCCAGGAAGACATTGACGAGTGCGCCAGCAACCCCTGTGAGAACGGGGCCAACTGCACCGACTGCGTGAACAGCTACACCTGCACGTGTCCGTCCGGCTTCAGCGGGATCCACTGTGAGCACAACACACCCGACTGCACGGAGAGGTAGGTTCATCTAGGGCGGGCTTTCCCCCGTCTTGACAACTTAAAGAGGGGTGGGCTTCAGCTTCCAGAATTTCCCTAGCAAGCCAGGAATTCTGGGAGTTGAAGTCCACCCGTCTTCAGGTTGTCGAGGCTGAGAAATGGCGATCTGGGATCTGCCAGATGGGTCAAAACAGACCCCTTGTTATCTAAGGGTTTCATGCAAGGCCCAGCATCTCTGCTTCCAGGAGGGGTCAAGTGAGGCCAGGGGTGGGTGACTCTCTCTCTCTCCTGTCACTCAGCTCCTGCTTCAATGGGGCCACCTGTGTGGACGGCATCAACACCTTCACCTGTGTCTGCCCACCTGGCCTCACCGGCATTTATTGTGAGCACGACATCAATGAGTGTGACTCCCAGCCCTGCTTGAATGGCGGGACGTGCCAGGACAGCTACGGGACTTACAAATGCGTCTGCCCGCAGGGCTACACCGGACTCAATTGCCAGGTAACCAGCAATTCCACTTCCTGCTCCAGGCGGAATAGTCGCTCCGGGTTTTCAAGGAGGGGGGAGGAGGACATACAGGTAGTCCTCGCTTAGTGACCCCCAACTGGCACGGGCAGCGTGGCCATTAAGCGAAGTGGCTGCCAGCCCCATCTCACTTCAGCTTTCCTGTGCTGTGCAGACCTGCAAGGGTTGCAAATGCAATGGCCATCGAGTTATTTTTTTGTATAGCCGCCATAAACTGAGAACCCTCCCTAAACAAGGCAGTCACTAAACAAGGACCGTCTGCAGTGTCTGGGGAAGAGCGTGTCTTAAGGATCGAGGTTGAAGTGGAAGGAAAGAAGCAGGGAAGCCCTTTCAAACATTTTGAACAGCAAAACAGTCTGTCAGCAAAACAGTCTGTCAGTTATTTCACAGGGTTGGTTATTAGGACCGCTTTATACAGCCTTTAGTGAGGCCACACCTGGAGGGCCGCATCCAGTTTTGGTCACCACATTATAAAAAAAGATGTTGGGACTTTGGAAAAAGTGCAGAGAAGAGCAACTAAGACAGTGGTTCTCAACCGGTGGGTCGGGACCCCATTTGTGGTCAAACGACCATTTCACGGGGGTCGCCAAACAACGCAGTCCGCCATTCCCCCCCCCCCTTTTCCTTAGCTGTGCTCCTCCCTTTTATTCTATTGGCTTTTGAAAGCCAATAGAACAGACTCTCTTGAATAGAGTCTAATTCTATTGGCTTTCCAAAGCCAATAGGAATTGTCCAGGCTGTCTCTGCCCTGCTAAGCCCGCCAAAAGTCCCATTCTGCAAACGGTGCTGCACCAGTTGAGTAGTCCTCGACTTACGACCGGTTGAGTAGTCCTCAACTTACGACCGGTTGGGGGGTCGCAGCATTAAAAAGGTTGAGAACCACTGAACTAAGACGATCCAAGGCCTGGAGACTAAAACATAGGAAGAACAGCTGCAGGATTTGGATACGGCCAATCTAGAGAAACGAAGGACGAGGGAGGACATGATAGCAGTTTTCCAGTATCTTAGGGGCTGCCCCAAAGAAGAGGGAGTCAAGCTATTCTCCAAAGCACCTGAAGACAGGACAAGAAGCAATGGATGGAAACCAATCAAGGAGAGAAGCAACCTGGAATTAAGGAGAAACTTCCTAATAGGGAGGACAATTAACCAGTGGAGCAGAAGTTGCCTTCAGATGTTGTGGATGCTCTGTCACTGGAGCTTTTTAAGAAGAGACTGGACAGATGGTCTAGCGGCTTTCCTGCTTGAGCAGAGGTCTCTTTCAGCTCTGTTCTGATCGACCTCGGCACCCATGGGGCTCCCACAAAGCTTGGCCTTATGGCAGTGGGGGCGAACCTACGGCACGGGTGCCAGAGGCGGCACTCAGAGCCCTCTCTGTGGGCACGCGTGCTGTTGCCCCAGTTCTAGGCCTTACAGCTGGGTTTTATAAAACCTTTTCGCTTTAGGCCTCCGCCGCCGTGTGCAAAAAACAAAAAAAAAGGTTCAATCAGTCAATTTCAACTTCTCGTGGGGAAAAAAAAAAGATCTTGCAAAGTTGGAATTGATTGATTGAACTTTTTAGTCCCACCCAGTCTGGGCGTTACTACTGCAGCCACCCCCTCCCAGTGGGCCACGCCCACCCAATGGGCCACACCCACCCGGCACTCGATGATGCATAAGTGGGTTTTGGGTTGCAGTTTGGGCGCTCGGTCTCTAAAAGGTTCGCCATCACTGGCCTTTTGGGGACAAATATCGCAACTCGCCTGATCAATGGATAACGTGCGCCCTCTAGAGTGAGCTCCGGCTCTTCCTGGCTGTTCAGCACATTTGAAAGGTCTTTGAGCATTGCAGAATGTGACAAGGATTGGTCCCGCAACCCAGAGACTTGGGGCTGGCGGCACGTTCAGCGGTGGGCAGTTGGCATCTGTGCGGGCCTCTAGAGCAGTGATTCTCAACCTTTCTAATGCCGTGACCCCATAATACAGTTCCCCATGTTGTGGTGACCCCCAAGTGGGTGTGGCCACCAATAAGAGGGAGTAGGACAGCTAGGGAAAAGGGAAAAAAATGGCGGACAGCATGGTTTGGCGACCTCCGTGAAATGGGGTCCCGACCCACAGGTTGAGAACCGCTGCTCTAGAGTCTGCACGAGGCAGTCGAGGTGTATTTGGGCTCCTCGTGGTGTTGCAGAGGCCGGAGATACAGCCAAAATGAGAATCTTCCTGTCCCTGGCAGCCTCTCTGGGGGGGCTGTCCCTCGCTGGGGTTGCTCTCCGAGATGCGTCGCTCAGCTTCCGCTCAGCCTGCGGCCGCTCAGCACAACAGGACGTCTCATCTGTCCCCTCACCGCGTGCGCCATCCTCTTCCTCCCCCCATCTCTGCAGAATCTGGTCCGTTGGTGCGACTCCTCTCCCTGTAAGAACGGAGGCAGGTGCTGGCAGGTCAACAATCACTACCGCTGCGAGTGCCCGAGTGGCTGGACCGGCCTGTACTGCGACATACCCAACGTCTCTTGTGAGGTGGCCGCCCGACGGCAAGGTGGGTCCTGCTTCCTGCTCCGTGTCCTGACCTCCGTGCTGGAGCATGTGGGGGGAACTTTCAGCAGGCGTCTCCCTCCCGGGTCCTCGGTCTCCGTCCAGGTGGAGCGTTGCCGATTCCGGGCAACTCGCTTCGAAGTCTGGCTGGCTCCACCGTTGGGCGAGGCGGCAAGGGGCCAGAGGAAGGAGTGGAGAGGAGGGGATGGCCTGACCCGGAGACCACAAAACGTGCAAGGAGCAAGAAACGATTTGTCCAGGCTTGGGACTGGACACTGTGGTGTGCTCCTTGTCCTGCCCCTGCTTACCTGCTCCGTCCAGGCCTGCCACACGTGTCTAATGGCCTCTCTCTGCGGCTTTTCCAGGGCTGGACGTTATCCGCCTGTGCAGAAACTCCGGGCTCTGTGTGGACCGGGGCAACACCCACCTGTGCCATTGCCAGCCTGGCTACACGGGTAGCTACTGTGAAGAGCAAGTGGACGAGTGCTCCCCGAACCCTTGCCAGAACGGGGCGACCTGTACGGACTACCTGGGCGGCTATTCGTGCGAGGTAGGCTTCCCGCCCAGAAGGGATGCGGGCTAGTGGGCTCCCGTGGCTGCAGGGAAGGAATTCAACCTGCCACCCAGGGCCAGGTTGGGAAGGTGTCTGGCCAGGGGCACAGGGCCCTTCCTCCCTTTCCCAGGTGATGTTTGGAGCCTGATGACCCCGGCCCTGCTTGTGGCAGGACACCCCCCCCCCCCCGGCTTCCCTGCATGCTCAGAGGCGACTGCTTGTCCCTTTGCAGTGCGTGGCCGGCTACCATGGCCGGAACTGCTCGGAGGAAATCAAGGAGTGCCTTTCCCATCCCTGCCAAAATGGCGGGACCTGCATTGACCTGCTCAACACCTACAAGTGCTCTTGTCCTCGTGGAACTCAAGGTGAGAGGGTCGAGCAAGCCCGGATCTTCCACCCAAACAGATCCAGAGCCTCGCTCAGCTCCGCTCCAAAATGGGCTCCTGCAGAAGCGGGTCAGAAGAAAAAAAAAATCAAGCCTAAAGGGGCGGGACTCGGCCACACGGTTGTCCCCACCATCTTGACTTTTTTTGACCCTGCCTCTATGGAAACCCACTCAGTCCTATCTCTGGGTTGCGGCATTTGGCTAAAATGGAGGGGAGGGGGGGGCTACACCCTGGAGTTAGGGGGAGGGGTGTAAGAGGTCCCTGATTTGGAAGAGGTAAAGTCTGTCTCCCTCTGGTGATGTTGGGTCACCCACATTTTCAGAATTGGGCTCCAGGATGGGGTGAGGGGGTTGGGTCCCTTCCAGCCCCCTGATTCAGTCCTTTATTTATTTATTTATTTATTTATTTATGAGACTTATATACCGCTTTAAGTGCAAGCACTCTCTAAGCCAGTGGTTCTCAACCTGTGGGTCGGGACCCCATTTGGGGTCGAACAACCATTTCATGGGGGTCACCAAACCACGCTGTCCGCCATTTTTTTCCCTTTTCCCTAGCTGTCCTACTCCCTCTTATTGGTGGCCACACCCACTTGGGGGTCACCACAACATGGGGAACTGTATTATGGGGTCACGGCATTAGAAAGGTTGAGAACCACTGCTCTAAGCGGTGTACACCAGTAAGCAACGTATATATATATATTTACATTGCCCCCAACAATCTACCTACCCCGGAAGGATGGAAGGCTGAGTCCTCCTTGAGCCGGTGAGATTTGAACCGCTGACCTGCTGAACATCGTCAGCTAAAGTGGCCTGCAGTACTGCACCTCTAACTGCTGCGCCACCTCGGCTCATTAATTGGGTTCCCACCTTTGAAAATTCCAGCAGCGCACACATGCTGTGGAGAACACAAACCTGACGAGATGGTTGCCCGGAGTAGAATGGAATAATACAAGCGAGCGGCTGATTTCAGTTGATGTTCAAAGATGAGCCCCGGTTGGATTTAATTTGTATTTGGATGGGAGGCCACAAGGAGATCCCCGGAATGTAGGCATTATAAAAGCCTGGGAGTCCACGTCTCTGTCGCTACTCAAAAGCCATGGAAAAAATCTCTAGGCCAGCCTGAGTCCAGCCACTGGCCGCTGATAAACCAGGATTTCCCAACCTGGCCGGCTTTAAGACTGCAGCTCCCAGAATTCTGTTGGCTGGAGAATTCTGGAAGTTGAAGCCCCCCCCCCCCGTCTTGAAGTTGCAGAGGGGGAGAAACACCACATCCCTCTGCTCTTCCAAAAGAGGGAGGCTGAGCGTTGGTTTTCTGGCGGGGGGGACGGGACTGTAAGCCTTGAGATTGAAGCAATGCATAAATAAATGCATAAATGGGAAGGGTACTGACCGGCTGCCCCCCCCCCCCACCAGGCGTCCACTGCGAGATCAACATTGACGACTGCAGCCCTGCCACAGACCCCCAGAGCCTGACCCCAAAGTGTTTCAACCAAGGGAAGTGCGTCGACAAGGTGGGGGGCTACAGCTGCATCTGCCTGCCAGGCTTTGTTGGGGAGCGCTGCGAGGGGGACGTCAACGAGTGCCTCTCCAACCCCTGCGACCCGCGGGGGACCCAGAACTGCGTGCAGCGCGTCAATGATTACAAGTGTGAATGCCGCCCAGGCTACACGGGTGAGCGCTCAGGGGGGCGTCTCAGAAGCCTGGAAGTGGGCCAGAAAGTGGGGGGTCTGGACAGGAGAAGAGCGTCTTCCCTCCCCTACGCCTTCTTTCCTTCCTCCCTCCCTCCCTCCCTTCCTTCCTTCTGTCAATGCTGCAAATATTGTATAGATGATGTGGTTCTGGCTAATGAAACATTCCACCTTCCTCCCTCCCTCCCTTCCCATTTCCCCTTCCTTCCTTCCTTCCTTCCTTCCTTCCTTCCTTCCTTCCTTCCTTCCTTCCTTCCTTCCTTCCTTCCTTCCTCTTTCCTTTCCCTTTCCTCCTTCCTTTTCCTCCCTCCCTCCCTTCCTTCCTCTTTCCCTTCCCTTCCTCCCTCCCTTTTCCCTTCCTTCCTCCCTTCCTCCCTCCCTTCCTTCCCCTTTCCCCTTCCTTCCTTGCTTCCTTCCTCTTTCTCTTCCTCCCTTTTCCCTTCCCTCCTTCCCTTTCCTTCCTCCCTCCCTCCCTTCCTTCCTTCCTCTTTCCCTTCCCTTCCTCCCTCCCTTTTCCCTTCCTTCCTCCCTTCCTCCCTCCCTTCCTTCCCCTTTCCCCTTCCTTCCTTCCTTCCTCTTTCTCTTCCTCCCTTTTCCCTTCCCTCCTTCCCTTTCCTTCCTCCCTCCTCCCTTCCTTCCTTCCTCTTTCCCTTCCCTTCCTCCCTCCTTTTTCCCTTCCCTCCTTCCCTTCCCTTTCCTTCCTCCCTCCCTCCCTTCCTTCCCCTTTCCCCTTCCTTCCTTCCTTCCATGGGTGGTTGCATGCTCAATGCAAAAGCCTGGTCTTTCTTTCTTTCTTTCTTTCTTTCTTTCTTTCTTTCTTTCTTTCTTTCTTTCTTTCTTTCTCCCCTTCCTTCTCTTCTTTCCTCCCTCTCTTGTCTCCCTTCCTTCCTTCCTTCCCTCCCTCCTTCCTTCCCTTCCTTTCTCCATCTTTCCCCTCCCTTCCTTCCTTCCTCTTTCCCTTCCCTTCCTCCCTTCCTTTCCCCTCCCTTCCTCCCTCCCTCCCTCCCTTCCTCCCTTCCTTCCTTCCTTCCTTCCTTCCTTCCTTCCTTCCTTCCTTCCTTCCTTCCTTCCTTCCTTCCTTCCTTCCTTCCATGGGTGGTTGCATGCTCACTGCAAAAGCTTGCTCTTTCTTTCTTTCTTTCTTTCTTTCTTTCTTTCTTTCTTTCTTTCTTTCTTTCTTTCTTTCTTTCTCCCTTTCCTTTTCTTTCCTCCCTCTCTTGTCTCCCTTTCTTTCCCCTCCCTCCCTCCCTTCCTTCTTCTTTCCCTTTCCTTCCTCCCTCCCTTTCCCCTTCCTTCCTTCCTTCCTTCCTTCCTCCCTCTTTCCCCTCCCTTTTCCCTTCCCTCCTTCCCTTCCCCCCTCCCCTCCATCCCTGAATGCAGCCTCCACCAGTTCTTCGTTGGGGAGAAGCTGAAGCAGTGCCCCCTTCACAGACTACTGAGGCGTTGTCTCTTTGACACCTGAAAATTACAGTAAACCCCCCCATTCTAATTGCACGTGGGGGTGAAAGGATCTTAGTTGAAATACGGGGGGGAGAGGGGGGAATTAATATTTCCTACCTTTAAGAGAGCAAAGAAAAGGTCACCGAGTTTTGATCTGGGGCTGGCCTGGCCGGATCTCTGTTTATAGTGCTTTAGTTCCACCGCAGAGTATTGCGCCGGCTTTGACTTACAGCGAGACGCAAAGTAAACGCGTCAGCTTTTATTTTCACTGCTCGCTGAATCCAACAGCAGCCTCTCCCGTTCAGGAAAGCTTTTTTGCGCTCCTTAACCAGCAGAACGAAGGGGGAAAAAAAGAAAAAGTTTCTAGCCTTTCGTCACAACCCTTGCAAAATAAAGGAGGGCGACCTGGTTCCACGAAAGGTTTCCAGCCCGGGGAGGTTGAGGCAGGACCCCCCCCCCTTCACCCGAACGGTAGGGGGGAAAACGTAGACACCTGATTCGGCCTGAAGCCCCCCTTTTGCTCTCCTTCCAGGACGGTGCTGCGAAACGCTGCTGAATGGCTGCCAGACCAGACCCTGTCGGAACGGGGGAACTTGTGCCGTCGCCAGCAACACAAAACAGGGTTACATCTGCAGGTGTCCCCCGGTATGCGGCCGGCTGGGGTCACGGAGCAGGAGGGGGGTGGCTGAAGAGGGAAGCCTCAGCTTCTTCGCACCTTGATTGTGATGGAATGGGTGGAGCTGGGCTCTTTCAGCACTTAGGGGCGGGGCTTGCCCCACCTGGGAAACTGGGTCGTCTGGGAGGGCACCACTGGACCCCACTGGGAAGTTTATGATTCCACATATAACACAAATTACCCTTAGCCCTTGATTTGTGAAGTTAATTGAGCCCTGTTGGAATATTCATGAGCAGGAAGAGTCATGTGGTAGCTTCTGATTTATTTTTTCACCAATAGAGAAATTAAAATTCTCTAACAAGCCCACAATTTCGTTTGTGCGTCAAGATGCTCGCAAAGTGCCCATTATTATTATTATTATTATTATGGATCGTCGCACAGTTAGCCAGATGTTCAGACTGGATTTGGCATTTTGTCTACCTATCGAGTCCTTACCCAGGACCTGGGATAGGCAGATGTGGATGTTTGATGGTATTACAGGTATCGTCGCAGGATGGAAGCAGTTCCTAGTAAAGCCGCCTTTTGCTATTGACTAATAGCGAATTTGTCAATGTCAATGGTCTTCAAGTGGTGCTCCAGTTGTTTTGGGATTGCACCCAAGGAGCCTATCACTATTGGTACTACCCTTGCTTGCTTTTGCCGCAGTCTTTTTATTTCTATTTGTAGGTCTTTGTATTTTGTTATCTTCTCCAGTTCTTTCTCTATTATTATTATTATTATTATTATGGATCATCGCACAGTCAGCCAGATGTTCAGGCTGGATTTGGCATTTTGTCTACCTATCGAGTCCTTACCCAGGACCTGGGATAGGCAGATGTGGATGTTTGATGGTATTACAGGTATCGTCGTAGGATGGAAGCAGTTCCTAGTAAGGCCGCCTTTTGCAATTGACTAATAGCGAATTTGTCAATGCCAGTGGTGTTCAAGTGGTGCTCCAGTTGTTTTGGGATTGCACCCAAGGAGCCTATGACTATTGGTACTACCCTTGCTTGCTTTTGCCACAGTCTTTCTATTTCTATTTGTAGGTCTTTGTATTTTGTTATCTTCTCCAGTTCTTTCTCTATTACTACTACTACTACTACTACTACTACTACTACTACTACTACTATTATTATTATTATTATTATTATTATTATTATTATTATTATGGCTGTCCAGTCTCTTCTTAAAAACCTCCAGTGTTGGAGCATTCACCACCTCTGGAGGCAGGTTGTTCCACTGGTTAATTGTTTTGATTGTCAGGAAGTTTCTCCTTAGTTCCAGGTTGCTTCTCTCCTTGATTAGTTTCCATCCATTGCTTCTTGTCCTGCCTTCGGGTGCTTTGAAGGATAGCTTGACCCCCTCTTCTATGGGGCAACCCCTGAGATATTGGAACACGGCTATCATGTCTCCCCTTGACAGCTACTTGACAGCACCCCCCCCCCCTTGGCCTGATGTGTTCCCACGAAGGCTGGAGAGCCCCTGGTCTGGAGTGCTGCTCCCCCAGTCTCAGCGTTCCTTCCGGTTCCTTCACTTCTGAATGATGGTCTTCTTCTTCTTCCCCTCTCAGGACTTGAACGGCGCCACTTGTGAAAACGACGTGCACAGCTGTGGGATGCTGCGGTGCCTGAACGGCGGGACCTGCGTTTCCACCGCCCAGCAGACCAGGTGCCTGTGCGCGCCGGGTTTCACCGGTCCCGAGTGCCAGTTCCCCTCCCACAGCCCCTGCCAGTCCGCCCCCTGCTACAATGAGGGCACCTGCCAGTTCACCCAAGAGCCGCCCCACTACCGCTGCCTCTGCCCCATCAACTTCAACGGCCTCCACTGCCACATCCTGGACTTTGAATTCCCGGGGGGTCCCGGTCAGGACATCACCCCTCCCCCGGTGGAGGAGAAGTGCGAGATCCCGGGCTGCCCCAGCCTGGCCGGCAACAAGATCTGCGACGCCAAGTGCAACAACCACGCCTGCGGCTGGGACGGCGGGGACTGTTCGCTCAACTTCAACGACCCCTGGAAGAACTGCACCCAGGCCCTGCAGTGCTGGAACTACTTCAACGACGGCAAGTGTGACGTCCAGTGCAACAACAGTGGCTGCCTGTACGACGGCTTTGACTGCCAGAAGGTCGAGCTGCAGTGCAAGTAAGTGGCTGTGCCCGGCCAGCCGGGCGGCGCGTTGCGTCCCTTTCCCCCGCTTCAAGGAGGCTCGCTTTTTCTTTCCTTTTCAACAAGGGGAAAGAGAAGGAGGAAGAGCTGCTTGCAGCCATGTTTCCCCCAAAATAAGACCGGATCTTATATTAATTTTTGCTCCAAAAGATGCTTTAGAGCAGTGGTGGCGAACCTACGGCACGCGTGCCAGAGGCGGCATTCGGAGCCCTCTCTGTGGGCACACGCACCGTCGTCCCAGCCCCACCTCCTCCCACAGCCCCCCGGAGGAGAGTCGCCCCCGGGCGCGGCCCACATGAAGCAGTGCAGCCAAGGACATGGCAGCCAGGCAGCGGGGACAAGACTCCGCCCTTGTGCCCCATTGTGCACAGATGCTGCTGCGGGGCACGGGCAGATGGCGTGGCCACCATGTCACTGCTGGGCTGCCTGGATAATCTGTGGCAGGCCGTGGAGGTGGTGGGTGGCCCAGTGGGGTGGGGGGCAGGTTTTGGGCATCGCTGCTTTAGGGCTTGTATTCGGGGAAATACGGCACCGAATGAGTCCGCCTGGCTGACAATCTTTTTTTTTTTTTTTACAAATTTTATTTATAATACAGTTGAAAACAAACAACCATTGGATTTAACGTGACATTCCAGTATATACATTCTTATCAGATTATTCCATTTTTTACAATCAATTCTTCATCTCTACGTATACATCTAAGTTTTATGTACAATACTTGTTCTAAAATAACATATCTTTCTATCTTAACCTTCGTCTTTAATCCCGACCGTCTTCTTCAAATTCCCCCAGCGGTAAAATTTATCCCAGGTTTCATAATAAACTGATCCACATTTGTCTTTTAATATCCTTGGGAGCCTGTCCATTTCCGCACATGCTAATATTTTATGTATTAACTCTTCCTCTGTGGAATTTCCTTGCTCTTCCATTTCTACGCAAATGCAAGCCTAGCTGCAGTCAGGATGTGTAGCAGCAGATAGATTGTTCCCTTGTCGTATTTTTCTGTCGTTATTCCCAACGAAGAGAGTTCAGGTTTTAACTCTAAGTCCAGTGTTAATATATCCCTCAACCAGTTTCGTGTCCTGTTCCAATATTCATGGATCTTTGGGCATTCCCACCACATATGGTAGTATGAACCTATTGCTGTTTTACATTTCCAGCATAGGGGTGAGATGTTTGAACCTATTTTGGCTAGCCTTACGGGTGGGAAAAGCCTGGCTGACAATCTTAACTGGGGCTTATTTTTGGGGTGAGGCTTATATTACGAGCATCCTGAAAAATCAGGCTAGGGCAGGGGTAGGCAACCTTGGCTCTTTTGTGACTGGTGGACTTCAGCTCCCAGAATTCCTGAGCCAGCCATGCTGAGGGGAAAGGGAGAGGTTTCCAAGCTGAGCCAGGCTGGCTCAGGAATTCTGGGAGTTGAAGTCCACCAGTCATAAAAGAGCTGAGGTTGCCTACCCCTGGGCTAGGCCTAGGCTGTTTTATGACTCATGGACTTCAACTCCCAGAATTCCTGAGCCAGCACGGCTCAGCTTGGAAACCTCGCCCTGTCCCCTCAGCGTGGCTGGCTCAGGAATTCTGGGAGTTGAAGTCCACCAGTCATAAAAGAGCCGAGGTTGCCTACCCCTGGGCTAGGCCTAGGCTGTTTTATGACTCATGGACTTCAACTCCCAGAATTCCTGAGCCAGCACGGCTCAGCTTGGAAACCTCGCCCTGTCCCCTCAGCGTGGCTGGCTCAGGAATTCTGGGAGTTGAAGTCCACCGGTCATCAAAGAGCCGAGGTCGCAGACCCCTGGTCTAGGTGATCGGTGGCCTCACTCGTTTCTCCCTCCATCTTGGCAGCCCTCTCTACGACCAGTACTGCAAGGATCACTTTTCTGACGGCAACTGCGATCAGGGCTGCAACAGCGCCGAGTGCGAATGGGATGGCCTCGACTGTGCCAACCACGTGCCCCAGAAGCTGGCCGACGGGACCCTGGTGGTGGTGGTGCTGGTCAGCCCTGAAATCCTGAGGAACTACTCCTTGAACTTCCTGCGGGAGCTCAGCCGGGTCCTGCACACCAACGTGGTCTTCAAGAAGGACACCAATGGCGAGGACATGATCTTCCCTTATTTTGGGAACCCAGAAGAACTAAAAAAACACCGCATCAAGAGGTCGGCGGGCGACTGGCCAGATGTGTCGGAAGTGGTGGTCAGCATGAAGGCAGCCCTCCACGCGAGGATCAGTGGGAGGCCGAAGAGAGAGCTGGACCAGGTGGAAATCTACGGGTAAGCACCACAGCAGAGTGAACCGAGGTGACTAGGATTGTGTGTGTGTGTGTGTGTGTGTGTGTGTAGGAAGGGGGGGTATTAGAGGTCATTCAGACCCAGGCATAAAGCTGCAGCAGGGCAATGAGGGACTTTGCGTTGTGTGGCAGGAATAGAATTAGAAATAGAATAGGGAATAGAATAGAATAGAATAGAATAGAATAGAATAGAATAGAATAGAATAGAATAGAAATACAGAAAAATAGAATAAAACAGAAATACAGAAGAATAAAATAGAATAGAATAGAAAATAGAATAGAAAATAGAATAGAATAATGAATAGAATAGAATAGAATAGAATAGAATAGAATAGAATAGAAATACAGAAAAATAGAATAAAACAGAAATACAGAAGAATAAAATAGAATAGAATAGAAAATAGAATAGAATAATGAATAGAATAGAATAGAATAGAATGGAATAGAATAGTTGGAAGGGACCTTGGAGGACATCTAGTCCAGCCTCCTGCTCAAGCAGGAGAACCTATACCATCTCAGACAAGTGACTGTCTAGCCCAGACATGTCAAACTCACGACATCACGTGACGTCGCGCAACGTATCGGAGCTTTTTCGCCATTGCCAGCAATGACATGGCTTCCCAATGACGTGTCTGGCCCATGGGCCCGCAATTTGACACCTCTGGTCTAGCCTCTTCTTAAAAATCTCCAGTGATGGAGCTCCCATGATTTCTGGAGGCAAGCTGTTCCACCGGTTAATTGTCCTCACTGTCAGGAAGTTTCTCCTTAATTCTAGGTTGCTTCTCTCCTTGATGAGTTTCCATCCATTGCTTCTTATCCTTCCCTCTGGTGCTTTGGAGAATAGTTTGATGCCCTCTTCTTTGGGGCAGCCCCTCAAATACTGGGATACTGCTATCATGTCTCCCCTATTTCTTCTTTTTTTTAGACTAGCCAAGCCCAAGTCCTGTAGCCGTTCTTTGTATGTTTTAGTCTCCAGGCCTTGGATCATCTTAGTTGCTCTTCTCTGAATTTTTTCTAAACTCTCAACATCTTTTTTGTGATAAGGTGACCAAAATTGGCTACAGTATTCCAGCTGTGGCCTCACTAAGGTTTTATAAAGCGGTACTAATACCTCGTGTGACCTTGATTCTACGCCTCTGTTTATACAATCCAGGATTGTGTTAGGTTTTTTGGTTGCTGCTGCACACGGTTGGCTCGTGGTTAAGTGATCGTCCACTAGGACTCCAAGGTCCCTCTCACAGTTACTGTTTTTAAGCCGGGTCTCGCCCAATCTGTATTTGTGCCTTTGGTTTTTCCTGCCTAAGGTGTAGGACTTTGCTTCTCTCCACATTAATTTGGAAGAATAATCCTAGGCCTGATCAGCTGGAAGGAACAGAACTTGTGCCCAGAGAGAAGAATATTCTGAGAATATCCAAGGAGAATAGCCCAAAGGCCTATGCCGAATGCCTCACAGGCAGTCCTTGACTTACGAGCAGAATTAAGCCCCAGATTTCCATTGCTAAGCAAAACAGATGCTAAGTGAGTTTTGCCCCATTTTATGACCTTTCTTGCCACAGTTGCTAAGTGAGTCATGGCAGTTATTCAGTTAGTAAGCTGGAGGTTTGATGAATCCGGCTTTCCCGTTGACTTTGCTTGTCAGAAAGTCACCAGAAACGATCACACGATCCCAGGACACCGCAACGGTCATAAACACCAACCGTGTCAGCTGTCGAGGGTCTGGATTTTAATCGTGTGGCCACAGGGATGCTGCAAGGGTCCTAAGTCACTTTTTTCCAGTGCCGTTGTAACTTTTGAACGGTCACTGAATGAACTGTGGTAAGTCGAGGACTACCTGGATGCTGTCTGGCACAGCTGGGTCAGGCTGCAGCCCCCGGCTCTGATGAAGACGCCTGAGTCCTGTACTGAAGGACGGCCGTCCTTCCTGCTAATTCCCGTGGGCTTCCCTTTCCCCAACCTGCAGGTCCATTGTTCACCTGGAAATCGACAACCGCCAGTGTGTCCAGTCTTCTTCTCAGTGCTTCCAAAGTGCCACCGACGTAGCGGCGTTCCTGGGTGCCTTGGCCTCAAGCGGCAACTTGGACATTCCCTACAAGATCGAGGCTGTGAAAAGTAAGTAGACTCAGTTTACAATCCCCTCTGGGACTTCCCCGGGGGATCGCAGGGCCTGGAAAGCCGCTGAGGGTACGGAGGCAGGTTGCTGAGGCCTTCAGGAACAGAGGCTGGATAAATGAGCATCCTGCTTTGGTAACTCTCCACCTTCTGGACCTGTCCTCCAGTGAAGCATCCTGTATGTAGGGTAGTGTCCCAAGCCTATGCAATTAGGATAGGTCAGCCTCTTCTCCAAAGCCCCCAAAGGCCGGACAAGAAGCAACGGATGGAGGCTAATCAAGGAGAGAAGCAACCTAGAACTATGGAGAAACTTCCTAACAGTGAGGACAATTAACCAGTGGAACAACCTGCCTGCAGAAGTGGTGAATGCTCCAACACTGGAGGGTTTTTTTTAAGAAGAGACTGTCTGAAATGGTAGGAGGGTCTTCTGCTTGAGCAAGGGGATGGAAGAGGTTCCTTCCAATTCTGCTATTGTGTCGTTATTATTCTGTTTGGCCATCACAAACACACGTTTTAATATATTAACATCAGAATTGGATGTGATGCTGCTCCTTTATTTGCTCTTTGCACTGAAACCTGGGAGGGAAGGTCAGGCTGTTGAAGAGAGACAGGTGGTCCTCAGATATTGGCCCTTCATAAGATTAACAACTGTAGCAAAAAAAAAATCATAAAAATATATTCCTTTGCGGGGCCTGCCATTCTGGGGGGAGGGGGGGCTGCTTGCTTGGGGAATGTCTTTGCCTGGCTCTTTGAAATGTCCTCCCTCCATGAGAAAGGAATGTGGCTTGAAAAACATCTTCCTTATCTTCAGACAATGAAGCCTGGGACCGTTGAGAAACGAAACCGAGAGAGAGCTTGAGATGAGCGCTAGATCACTAGGTTCTCAAAACAACCTAGCCCCTATAGATTGGCTGGATTTCAACTGGACGGTTGAACACTGGGGGTTGGAGACCTGAATGAGCCATTTGATGTAACCTTTCACGCATGAAATATTCAGACCTTGCTTTGTTCTTCTGCTATCGCTCACTCTCAATAAAAGTTCCTTTTGAAACGGTGCCTGTTTCAAGAGTGCTGCTTTTTTGGGGGACCTAGTTGAGGCAGGTCCTTGCAATCAGGCAGTTACTGACCACCTCATTTGGTGATGGACATTCAGGCCCCAATTGTGGTCCTAAGCTGAGAATTACTTGTATTAATTAGATCTGCTTATTTTTTTTTAATATCTGGTCAAGGCTGTGAGGAAGTTAATAAAAATCTCAGAAAGGAGAGAATATAAATATCTAAAAAGAAGGAGCATAAACATGGAGGCTATTACTTCTGTCGGCCGATCTTTATATTGTTGTCTATTAAAATATCCATCTAGCATCGAAGCCGTGGAATTTGGGGTTTCCCACCAGTTTTCCGATAACAAAACTTTGGATTCTAATCTTTCAGAATGTCAACAGGCCAGTGTTCTTTCAACGTTGGCATCGACGTGCGGATTTCAACTCCCAGAATTCCCCAGCCACCCATGCTGGCTGAGTAATTCTGGGAGTTGAAACGCACAGTTCTTAAAATTAGTAAGGTTGAGAAAGAGTGGATTAAGTTCATAATGGATTGTATATAGTTTGGGGCTAATTCTGCCAGCGGCAGCTCAGTAAGCTTCTTGAGTCAAAAGACACCCAGCACAGGCCCCCGATAACATGTATGTGCCCCGCCTGCGTAATGTACAACCCACAATCCAATTCTAAACGATGGGCCAAGAGCTGTGAAACCGAAGCGATGAAAAGTAAGCGTCCCTTGAGCAATTAGCTGAATGCCTTATAAAAAAGAAGTCCCCGTTCCCTTGCTCTTTTTTGGGGCGGGGGGAATCTCAAGTTTTGCCTCCCCTCCCGAACTTATTTCAAAATAATTTATTGCTAGGAAAGGAGGGAGGGAAGGAGGAGAAGCTGCCTCAGACCTTGTAATTGATCAGTGACATGTGAAGAGCTGAAGGATTCTTCTCCCAAATCCTACTCAATCCTTTGGACTTAACCGCTCAATGTGGATTCAATGATTTGAAATGGGCTAATCCTTTTTCTCCTAAAGGAAAGAAAGCTTTTTTTTCCCTCAGCGCAGCAACAGAGAGTTTGCAATGCTGATGAATCACATCGAAAATGACCTCCTCCTCCTACTACTCCCACTCTTACTCCTCCTCCTCCTCCTCCTGAGGAGTTGGCAGAGGGAGGGGGCGAGCGTTGGGGGCAGCTCGGACCTCCTTGGCCCTCACTTTGCCATCCTCTGGCTGATGAGCACCTTCCCTCGGTCTGATCTTGGCACTTTGGGCTTTTGCATCGCAGGCGAGACGGCCGATTCCCCCCGGAGCAGCCAGTGGTATCCTATGTATGTGGTGGCCCCGTTGGTCTTCCTCCTCTTCTGCGTGGGCATCGGCGTTTTGGCAACTCGCAAGCGGCGGAGGGAACATGGGCAGCTGTGGTTCCCCGAAGGCTTCAAAGTGACGGAGTCCAGTAAGAAGAAACGGCGGGAGCCACTGGGGGAGGATTCCGTGGGGCTGAAGTGAGTATTCCCCCCTCCCTCCCTTCCTCTTGTAGGGGTCTCCAGGCATAAGTTGGGGTGCTTAGACTGATCCTCCGGAGAGACGCTCCCTCTCCGTCTGGTTCGTGCAAAGAGCCTTGCGTGGATCTGACTCTGGTCTTCATGGGGTGGAAGCAGAAAAGGATGTATTGGTTGGGGAGGCAAAAAGCACCTGAAGTGAGGCCAGCAGTGTTGCCTCACTAACCCAGGTTTAGCGTGTTGGAGGAGCACAACGTGGCGGGCACTTCACTCTTTGCGGCATGCCGGCTTTGACTTCCGTTTAGCCAAAGAGAACTTGGCTGGGAAAGACATTGTTTACATTCTTTTTTTTTTTTCCCAAGCATTTTGAATGTTTGCTTCCTTTTTGGGGTGACTAGAGGCAAATAATAGTCCTGTGGTTTTGGTGAAAGGGCTGGCTTTCTGCCCCACGCAAGACAAGCTGTAGGAAACACACGGAGGCTGCCTCCATGGCCCTAGGTGTAGAGGGCATCTGTAGGAATCTGGGGGGGGGGGCATTGATTCCTGCTATGCTTTGACTTCATTTTCTCTCGGTGGGCATCGTGGGTAAATCTCAGGAGGTCTGTGAATGTGGCAAAGCAAAGCTGGCTGAGGAATTCTGGGAATTGAAGTCCACAAGTCTTAAAGTTGCCAAGGTTGAGAACCCCTGTTCTAAGTGGACTTAAGTTTTTCATTCAAGAATGACTGCAGATGACAAAGTAATCTGGTTATATTTTAGGACTCCCTCGACTCCCCGTTTTAGCACATCTCCCTTTTAAGTGTATTTATTGTTATGGATTTATACAGAAGCACAGATATTATTTGATATTATTTGATATTTTTTAATGCATGAGCAGTATGGACTTCCTTTCGTGAGAGAGCCTGCATGTATTTTATCTTTATATATTTAAGTACATTCTCCTGAGAAAAGGTCCAATGATAGCTCCTTTTAAAAAAGAGAGATTTTGTTTTAAAAAAAAGAGAGAGAGAGAGAAAAGATCTAATGGCTTTACAAGATTCCCAAAGAGCTGTAAAAGGTGACAACCAAAACCTCTTTATTTTCCAGCTCATAACTTTGGAAGGAGCATTCAGTGTTTACACAAACAGCTTGATTTTTGTGTAATAAATGGAAAATACACAACAAGCACATCGCCCAAACCACTCTGCTTCAAGAAAGTTTGATATTTTCGATCTTAATTTTAATTCCTTGCTATTTTTTTTTTTAACTTGGCTTGACTCCCATAGAAAGTTTCCACAATTAACTGGATTTCAGGAAGTTGGCATAGATAAAAGGTTGGAATAATGGGAAGATGTCTTTTTATTCAGTTCATCTAGTGCCAGTGTTTCTCAACCTTGACCATTTTAAGGCATGTGGACTTCAACTCCCAGAATTCCACAGCCAGCATTGCTGGCTGTGGAATTCTGGGAGTTGAAGTCCACATGCCTTAAAATGGTCAAGGTTGAGAAACACTGAGATTCTAGTCTTTAGTTACTCCACTTTATTTTGTTGACAGCAACTGCAGTTGGTCACTCGACCGTTTCCCCACGGATTTTAATTCCTTGCCTCTTTCTTCGCCCTTTCCCCCAGACCCTTGAAAAATGCTTCGAACGGCACCCTGATGGACGACAACCAGAACGAGTGGGGAGACGAGGAGACGCTCAACACCAAGAAATTCCGAGTAAGCTGGCCAAGGATGCTTTGCTTTTGGGAAGCTGGTTGCGCGGAGACGGGATGCTGGAAAATCCTCCAGAATTTTCTTTTTTTGAACTGCTTCTCGTTCAGTCTGGATTGGGCATTTGGGATTTCTGCTAGAGAAGGAGAGAATTTCACGGAAGGAGCGTGATCTTGCAATCTAAGGGACACCCGTCTGCGGTTTAGTCCTTTGCCCCGCCTGGGGGTTCTCAGGAGGGGTTGAAAGCAGCCCTTCCCTGAGGTCTTTTTCAGATCGGCAAGTGGGGGAGAGCTTGGCAAAGATGCCATGAAAAACACACCTAGGACAGTGATGGCGAACTTTTTAGAGACCGCGTGCCCAAAGGGCAACCCAAAGTCCACTTATGCATCGTCGGGTGCCGGGTGGGTGTGGCCCATTGGGTGGGCATGGCTGCGGTGGTAACAGCAGACTGGGTGGGACTAAAAAGTTCAATCAATCAATTCCAACTTTGCAAGATCTTTTGTTTTCCCGCGAGAAGTTGAAATTGATTGATTGATTGAACCTTTTTTTTTGTACACAGCGGCGGAGGCCTAAAGCAAAAAGGTTTCATAAAACCCAGCGGAAGGCCTAGGACTGGGGCGACGGCGCGCGTGCCCACAGAGAGGGCTCTGAGTGCCACCTCTGGCACCCGTGCCATAGCTTCGCCACCACTGACCTAGGACAACAGAGGGAGCCAGGAAACTCCAAAAACTCACGCCAAGAGGAAGTCAGACAAAATTCCCAAGCTCCCTAGGAATAAAGTAGGACCATAAACCCGTCTGGGGTTATTTGCCTGATAAGAAAAGGCTGAGAAATGGCAGGAGAGAGTTTAGCGCAGGGTGATTTTGTACCTTGGCAAGCCCATCAGTTGGATTCATGGACACACAAGTGCTTTCACGTGGAGAGCTACATCATGAAAATACACTCCCCCTTCCATCTTTTTCTTTCTTCATGGTTCTTTGTGGAAGGAAAGGGCAGATGGTAGCCTCGGCCCCCAGAGCATTTTGAGAACGAGGGCATGAAAACAGCGCAAGCCCTGTTCTTGGAGAGAACAGTCTTCCGTGTTAGGAAAGCGCTTGTCTAACTGCGACATTTTTAGATGCCCAGTTAAAACAGTTTTGCTCGCAGGAGCAAAACATGATGCGCTGCAGGAGTTTCGGGAACCTCTCTGAAAAATCTGCAGACACCCATCACTTTATGTGTGGATTTCAAACTTCTAGAAATCACCTCTTTGGCCCTCTTCTCCTTCTCCTTCTTCCTCTATTCCAGTGGTTCTCAACCTGTGGGTCAGGACCCCATTTGGGGTCAAACGACCATTTCACGGGGGTCGCCAAACAACGCAGTCCGCCATTTTTTCCCCCTTTTCCTTAGCTGTGCTACTCCCTTTTATTCTGTTGGCTTTTGAAAGCCAATAGAATAGACTCTCTGGGAATAGAGTCCAATTCTATTGGCTTTCAAAAACCAATAGGAATTGTCCAGGCTGTCTCTGCCCTGCTGAGCCCGCCAAAAGTCCCATTCTGCAAACGGTGCTGCACCCGTTGAGTAGTCCTCGACTTACGACCGGTTGAGTAGTCCTTGACTTACGACCGGTTGGGGGTCGCGGCATTAAAAAGGTTGATGCTCTATTCCCTTCCTTCTCCACTTTTCCCTATTTGTCAGGTAACCGGATGATACGAAACCAACTTCTAAGTAATAGGCTTGAATTTCTGACCTCAAAAGGCGTAGCTCCGTGTCGGCCTTCCTCTGAAACGAGCATTTTGCAGGAAAGCTCTGCCGAGTGGATCCTCAACTGACTTCTCCATCCCTCTTGTTCCCCAGCTAGAGGAACAGGTCATGTTGCCCGATGATCAGACTGACCACCGGCAGTGGACGCAGCAGCACCTGGATGCGGCCGACCTGCGCATTTCCTCCATGGCCCCCACCCCACCGCAGGGGGAGATTGACGCCGACTGCATGGACGTCAACGTTCGAGGGCCAGGTGGGTGAACCTTTGGATCTGTCCGTGAATGAGGGATCAATGCAAGATCCAGTTGGTAGCCCAGGTTCTGGATGTGAAGCTCCAGGTGGCCCCAACCCTGCCTGCCTCTCTTTCGTTTCTAATTTATTTTACGACATTTCATAATCTAAAATCCAAATGAAAATAAAGATAGCAGGGAAATAGGGAAGGGAAAGGGTGGGGGAAGTGTGGAAAAGAATAAAGAAACTGCAATCTCCAACTTTTTTCAGCACAATAGAATAAAAAAGGTAAGGCCTCAACTTTTTATTTTTATACATTTAGCATATGCTAGCCCAGGGGTATTGGTCGTAGAGAGGGCTGCCAAGGTGGAGGGAGAAACGAGTGAGGCCACCAATCACCTAGACCAGGGGTCTGCGACCTTGGCTCTTTTATGACTGGTGGACTTCAACTCCCAGAATTCCTGAGCCAGCCACGCTGAGGGGAAAGGGAGAGGTTTCCAAGCTGAGCCATGCTGGCTCAGGAATTCTGGGAGTTGAAGTCCACGAGTCATAAAGCGGCCTAGGCCTAGGCCAGAGTTAGTCAACTCCCAGAATTCCTGACCAGGGGTCTGCAACCTTGGCTCTTTCATGACTTGTGGACCAACTCCCAGAATTCCTGAGCCAGCCATGCTGAGGGGACAGGGAGAGGTTTCTAAGCTGAGCCATGCTGGCTCAGGAATTCTGGGAATTGAAGTCCACAAGTCATAAAGCACCCTAGGCCTAGACCAGGAGTCTGCAACCTTGGCTCTTTGATGACTGGTGGACTTCAACTCCCAGAATTCCTGAGCCAGCCATGCTGAGGGGAAAGGGAGAGGTTTCCAAGCTGAGCCATGCTGGCTCAGGAATTCTGGGAGTTGAAGTCCACCAGGCTTGAAGGGGCCATAGTTCCCCCATGCTGGCTCAGGAATTCTGGGAGTTGAAGTCCACTAGTCATAAAAGAGCCAAAGTTGCCTACCTCTGGCCTATACCATTTCAGACAAATGGCGGTCCAATCTCTTGTTAAAAACTTCCAGTATTGGAGCAGCCACAATTTTTGGAGGCAAGCTGTTGCACTAGTTAATCGTCCTCACCGTCAGGAAGTTTCTCCATAGTTCTCGGTTGCTTCTCTCCTTGATTAGCTTTCATCCGTTGCGTCTTGTCCTTCCCTCTGGTGCTTTGGAGAATAGCTTGACTCCCTCTTCTTTGTGGAAACCCCTAAGATAGTGGAACACTGCTATCACGTCACCCCCGTTGTTCACAGCTGTTCACTATATGTGGACTTGAACTCCCCAATTCCCCAGCCGGCCTGTCCTTCAGGCTGCTTTGGTTGACAGCTCCTCTTCCCGCCTTGCCAGACGGATTCACGCCCCTGATGATCGCTTCCTGCAGCGGAGGAGGCCTGGAGACCGCCAACAGCGAGGAGGAGGAGGACACCCCCGCCGTTGTTTCGGATTTCATCTACCAGGGGGCCAACCTGCACAGCCAGACGGATCGCACGGGGGAGACGGCCCTTCACCTGGCGGCGCGTTACGCCCGTTCGGATGCGGCCAAACGGCTGCTGGAAGCCAGCGCTGACGCCAACATCCAGGACCACATGGGCAAGACGCCGCTTCACGCAGCCGTGTCGGCAGATGCCCAGGGCGTCTTTCAGGTCAGGATGGTGCAAAAGTCTCAGACTGGGAGACATTTCTGCCCTCCTTTCCACCAAAACTGGGGTGGTTTCCACCGCAGCGCTTTCGACTATCTGCTAACTAGGATGCTTCTCCCCCCGGCACAGATCCTGATCCGGAACAGGGCCACCGACTTGGATGCCCGCATGCATGACGGCACCACGCCCCTGATTTTGGCGGCTCGCTTGGCGGTTGAAGGCATGCTGGAAGATCTCATCAGCTGTCACGCCGATGTCAACGCCGTTGACGATCTAGGTACCCAGTGGATCCCCAAGGCGTCCCTGAAGGGTCCGCCGAAGGAGGCTGCGGAACGGCCTGCTTATGGTCTCCCCCCTCTTCCTTTCCCCCTCCAGGCAAATCTGCCCTCCACTGGGCTGCGGCTGTGAACAACGTGGATGCCGCCCTGGCGCTGCTGAAAAACGGCGCTAACAAGGACATGCAAAATAACAAGGTCAGTGGGACCTCTTGGTTGAGGTCTGGGCTGCCAGAGAGCCCCCAACCCAGTGGAACTGCCTTGGCTCATTTCCTCCCTCTTCTTCCAATATACCCCACTAACTCTTTTTGGGGGGGGGGGAGTGAAAATGGCAGATGGCCTCACAGGTTGTAGAGAATGAGGGACGTGAGCTGGACAGAGATGGGCCAAAGGAAAAACATGGCTCAAATCCAAAACGGGAAACGGGCCCGAGCAAGCTATTTATTTATTTATTTATTTATTTATTTATTTATTTATTTATGAGACTTATATACCGCTTTAAGTGCAAGCACTCTCTAAGCGGTGTACACCAGTAAATATATATATTTACATTGCCCCCAACAATCTGGGTCCTCATTTTGCCTACCCCGGAAGGATGGAAGGCTGAGTCAACCTTCAGCCGGTGAGATATGAACCGCTGACCTGCTGAACACAGTCAGCTAAAGTGGCCTGCAGGACTGCACTCTCACTGCTGCGCCACTCTCGGCTCTTCGATGTCTCCTTCATTCACACAAGTCTTTTACAACTTTTCTGGCCAGAGCGGTGAATTGAGTAGCACGGCCATTAAGTGAATGTAGCTTCTTCCCCCTTGACTTTGCTTGTCAGAAGTTCGCAAAAGGGGGGGGGGTGTCACATGAACCCGGGATGCTGCGACCGTCGTAAATACGGGTCAGTTGCCGAGTGTCCGAATTTGGATCACATAACCACGGAGATGCTGCAACGGTTGTGTGAGAAACGGTCGCAGGTCGGTTTTTTTCCCAGTGCTGCTGTCACTTGGAATGGCCACTAAAAGACCTGTTGTAAGTTGAGGAGTGCCTATTTCTGCATGTACAGAGTCATTTTGGTGTAGTGGTTAGCGCAGCACACTAGAAACTGGGAGATGGTGAGTTCCAATCCTGCCAGAGGCAGGAAGCCAGCTGGGTGACCGTGGCCCCTCGCTCCCTCAGAGCCTTCGAAAGAGGCAGTGGGAGCCCCTTCTGAAAAAGCGTCCCCTCCCAAAAAAACCTTCCCACTCGGCCGCACCCAAAGCGGTGGACGCTCATTATTTTTTGGGGGGGGGTCTGACGTCCTGCTTCCCTGTCTTTTAGGAAGAGACCCCCTTGTTCTTGGCAGCCAAAGAAGGGAGCTACGAGACGGCCAAAGTCCTCCTGGACAGCTTTGCCAACCGGGACATCACGGATCACATGGACCGCCTGCCCCGGGACGCGGCCCAGGAGCGCATGCACCACGACATCGTGCGCCTGCTGGACGAGTACAACCTGGTGCGGAGCCCGCCCCTGCACAACGGGCCTCTGGCCACCCTCTCCCCGCCCCTCTGCTCACCCGGCGGCTACCTGGGCCACCTGAAGCCAGGCGGGCAGAGCAAGAAGGCCCGCAAGCCGAGCACAAAAGGGCTGAGCTGCAACGGGAAGGAGCCGAAGGGGCTGAAGGCCCCCCGGAAGAAGTCGCAGGAGGGCAAGGGGTGCCTGCTGGACGGCTCCGGCATCCTCTCCCCGGTCGACTCCCTGGAGTCTCCGCACGGCTACCTCTCGGACGTGGCCTCCCCGCCTCTGATGACCTCCCCCTTCCAGGCCTCTCCTTCCGTGCCCCTCAACCACCTGACCGGCATGGCGGACCCCCACCTCAGCATCAGCCAACTCAACCTGGTGGGAAAGTCGGATCTGGGCCTGGGGGCCGGACCGATGCAGCCCTTCGAGTCGGGGGCCTCCCGCCTGTCCCACCTGCCCGTCTCCGGCGCCAGCACCATCCTGGGCGGGGCCTCGCTCAACTTCGCCCTCAGCGGGAGTCAGTGCGAGTGGCTGAACCGCCTGCAGAGCAGCCTGGTGCCCGGCCAGTACCACCCCCTGAGGAGCGCCCTTCCGCAGGGCACGCACCCTGCCAGCCAGGCCCTGCCCCACGGGCTGCTGGCGCCCCTGCACGGCGGCGGCCCCCCTCTGCCTCCCATGATGACCTACCAGACCGTCCCCGGTGGCCACCTGCCCACCCACTCCCAGCCACACCTGCTGCAACCCCAGCAGCCGCAGCAGCAGCCGCCCCCACCGCAAGCCCACAGTGGGGCCACGAACACTGCCCCCCAAGTGGGGGCCAGCTTCCTCGGGAACGAGCTGGGTCAGGTGGAGCTGCAGCAGCCAATGAGTGGCGGCGCCCTGGCTGTCCACGCCATCCTGCCGCAGGACACCCAGGTGCTGGCCACCTCCCTCCCCCAGGGCCTGAGCACCACCCAGTTCCTGACTCCGCCTTCCCAGCACAGCTACCCCTCCCCCATGGACCACACACCCAGCCACCAGCTCCAGGTGCCCGACCACCCCTTCCTCACGCCTTCGCCCGAGTCGCCGGACCAGTGGTCAAGCTCCTCCCCCCATTCCAACGTCTCTGATTGGTCGGAAGGGATCTCGAGCCCGCCCACCAGCGTGCAGCCCCAGGTGGGGCGCATCCCGGAAGCTTTCAAGTAAGGGGGCAGCTGAGCAGCATCCCGGAGGCTGCCCTGTGAGACGGGCGGACCCCGTGGTTGAACTGGAGAAATCTTTTTCTTCCTTTTTTTTTTCTAAAAAAAAAAAAAATATTTTTGCATACATTGTAAGTGGAAATGTCGCTGTGTTCTTCCCTCTTTTTTAGTATTTATTTATGTACTTTTTCTTTTATGTGAAAACACTGCCGTTTTATTTATACGTTTTGTTTAAGAATTCCATGGGCTGCATTCGCTATTCCAACAAATAGAAAATCTATTAATGGGGACTTTTTTTAAATTGACTTTTTTTAAAAAAGAAAGAAAGAAAGAAAAAAAGAAAGAAACGTTTTTATCATGCTTTTGTCTAGAGAAACAGTCTTCTGTAAGATCCGTGATAGTAAAATGACACATATTTATTGATCAGGGTATTTTTCCTGATCATTTTAAAAACAGAATAAAAAGGGGAGGGGCAATTTTGTTTTTTAAAAAATGTACCTATGTGAGCAAAAATAATTTAAATATAAGTTGATGGTTTATTTTTAAAGAGCGCTTTAAAATATTCCCTTGGTGTTGATGCTATAGATACATAGATATATCGGTTTTAAAAATACAAGTAAAAATTTGACTCTTGGGAATTTCCATTTGTAGTAAAATAATGATCACCAAGAGAAATTTAAGAAATAAAAGTTGAATCAACCAAGCTTTCGTCAAAAGAAAAAAGCTTGGTTGACGAAAGCTTGGTTGATTAAACTTTTATTTCTTAAATTTCTCTTGGTGATTACGTATCAGTTTTCTACATCAGCTTCTAGGTGTGTTCGATTCCCTCCCAACATTCCTAGCTAGTGTGGCGGCTGGGAATTTGGGGGAAGTCATCCAGTGCACACTTGGGCAGTCCAAGGATATTGATATCGGACAGGGTCTGTCAACCTTTGCAACTTTTAAGGTGCATCAACCAATTCCAGCTGAATTCCGCGCAGCTTGAAGCCTGCTGGCTGGGGAACTCTTGAGAGGTGAAGTCCAAGGCAGAAAACCACTGATAACAGGGATCACGAATCTTTGTATGCAAGTTTCAGTATTACCTAGTTTATCCATCGTTTTGCGTGAAAACTGAGCGCGTACCTTTATTTATTTTAAATACTGCCTATGATCAAAAACCAGGATCAGAGGTATGGAGCTGCAAAGGAGTTCCAGATGCTTCTCCTCTCCCTCCTCCCCCCCCCCAGATGTGCCCTACTTGTTGCCAATGTAAAAGGAACGGAAAACCTCCAGTGGGTCAGGCATAGAGTAAGGAAGTAATGCTCTGTGTGTGTGTTTTTTTTTTAACAAGGCGGCTGTGATCCTAACTCACGGTTGGGCACTGTACCTAAGGCAAAGTTAACAAGAAGAGAGGTTGGGATAACTATGAGGAAAGGTTGAAGGTCTGTTGACCCAGCAGAAAAAAGGAGACTAATAATCTCCGTAGGGCCCCTGAGTGGGAGCAAGATAGTGTTAGGCATGTTTTGACTAGAACCCATCAAGAGATGGAGATGGCAGCCATTCATTTCCATGGGAAGGCGGGATTGGAACCCTGCTCCCACTCTTTCCTGGCCTTTCCAATGCCTGCCTGCATCTTACCTGGCAATGGGTGAGAGTAATAGACCCATAGGTTAGGAAGACCCCAGGTTAGGAAGACTAATGGAGGTTGGGAATGAGAAATAATGGAGGGGTTTCCATGGGTGTAAAGCCTATGGAGATTCCCAGTCACCCAGGACATGGTTGTCCCCAAGGTGCTTTTTCAAAACGCAACTGGACTTTGTTTTTACTTGAAAACGTTTCGCTTTTCATCCAAGAAGCTTCTTCAGTTCAGGAACATTAGTAGGAATGGATGGGTCGGGACTGAAGAAGGTCCTTGGATGAGAAGTGAAACGTCGTCAGGGAAAAACAAAGTCCGGTTGCCTTTTTGAAAAAAGCACCTTTGGGACATGGGTTTAAAGGGCGCCCCGTTCTCGAGACAGGCTGTCTAGAGAGAAAATTCTCTTCGCTGACCAAAGTCCAGGGCAGAAGTTCCAGCCTTTCTGCCCGTCTCCTGGCCTCCAAAGCGCACCTGAACATTCATGAGCCAGGTCAGTGTCTCGAGGCAGCAACATCCAGAAGCTTTAGGCCAGGGGTAGGCAACCTTGGCTCTTTTATGACTGGTGGACTTCAACTGCTGGCTCAGGAATTCTGGGAGTTGAAGTCCACGAGTCATAAAAGAGCCAAGGTTGCCTACCCCTGCTTTAGGCCATGCAGATTAATCTGTGTTGCATCCCTCACACAGCTGGAGGTGGCTGGAGAAGATTGCGCACCGCTTCAAAATTGGGGTTTCCAGAGCGGAAGACGGGGAGTACTTAGCAGCTGGAAGGAGCCAGTGTAGGAACCACAGGGATGTGGCTTTGCAAAACTTGGCCACAAGTTGACCACCGCTTGCTAGCACCATCTTCTACCCAGCCTCTGTCCAGTTTCAGGAAGCGGATTGCTGGGATCCTCCTAATTCTCACGACAGAATTGCCACCAGTTTGTGTCCTTCGCCCAGAAAGACCCTCCCGCTTTTTAAGAATTGGCCGCTTGTGTTTGCGATGGTTTTATTCGCTTTTAGAGAGAAAGGGAGATGGGGGGGGGGGAGCCCAGCAAAGCCGGCCGAGCAGCTGAACTTGTACACAAATAAATAAATAAATATATATACAGTATGCGCCTATGGCAAAGCTAATGTTTTGTAAATATGGAGTCAGTTGTGTTTTTTGTTTTTTTTTTACATGAAATGATATGGGTGGATTTTGTTTAAAAAATCTGAACGGTTAAACTGAAAGAAAGCATTGCACCGGTGAGGGGTGTTGAAAATATTGCTCAAAAGGAAGAAAAGGTTTATTAGCTGGTAAGAGTGCAACCCTGTGCTTGGGTCCTTTGGAGTAAATGCTACAAAGCAGTCCTTGATTTAGTTATGAGTTTATTAGCCATTGGAAATTACATTGAAAAAAAAAGTGATTCATAGCCTCACACTTACCAAAAATCTCAGCGGGAGCAAAATTCAGGCATTTTGCAGATGGTTGCAGGGTCCTGGGGTCAGGAAAGTCGCCCTTTGCACTTTCCCAGGAGCTTCCAGCAAGCAACGTCAATGGGGGGAGATGGGTTTGCTTAATGACCACAGTGATTCATTTAGTGACTGTGACAAAAAAAGGGGGTAAAATTAGATATAACTCAGTGAGCACATTGCTCAGCCATGGAAGCTGTGGTCCCATAAGTCAAGGACTACTTTTAAAGGAACATCCTCCGAGATGCCCAGGTAGGACTGATCTGTAGCTGCGTTGGCAGTGCGCTTTTGGGCAAGATGGTACATATTTTCATGAACTGTAATCCTGAGGAAGACATTCTTCACCTTTTGGATGTTGAACACACTGGTGCCCTCTCTTGGGGAATCTGATGCTCTCCCAAGCTTCCTTTTTTCTTTTTTCTTTTTTTGCTTGGAGGACCTCTGGAGGAGATAGGAAAGTGTTGGCACGTCTCTACAATGAGTGATTTTTTTAACACCCCTCTTGGTGTCAGATCTTTTTATGTTTTATAAATTAGACTGTAGTTTATAAGTCAGAGATGTGGGAGATTAAAAGAAGCAAACCTGTAATTAAAAAAAAACCATGCAAAATTGTAGTTTGCAAAAATGACACCTTTTATTTTATTTTGTTAAATGATTTGCAATAAACTATGCCAGTGGGCATTTTAGAAGGTTGTGGTCTTGCTTTTCTTTCAGATTAAGTAATTTGATTCAGGGAAGGAAATGTGTGGGTTTTTTTTTTTCCCAACACTAGAGGAGGTCACAAAATCCTCAAAAGCGTTCTTACATTCTTATTTCAGTGAGATAAAAATTAACTATCTATGTTGATTGTGAGAGATATACCTCAGAGCTCATTAAGGCAATACCTTTAATCAGTGCTTTTTTTGTAAAAAAAAAAAAGGTGCCGGAATTCACACACCTTATACAACCTGCCTTGCCTACCCTACAAAGTTCCAAAGTACCCTACTACTACTACTACTACTACTAATAGTAAAGTTGGAAGGGACCTTGGAGGTCATCTAGTCCAACCCCCTGCTCGGGCAGGAAACCCTACACCATTTCAGACAAATGGCTGTCCAGTCTCTTCTTAAAAACTTCCGGTGTTGGAGTATTTACTGCTTCTGGAGGCAGGTTGTTCCACTGATTAATTGTTCTCACTGTCAGGAAGTTTCCATTCAAAAAAGGTGCCGGAACTCCGTTCTGGGCATTCTATGACAAAAAAAGCCCTGCCTTTAATTGGGCTGACAAAAGATCTACCAAGTTACTGTACCTTTTCTAGTTTCCAGAAAAATTCAATCATGGAGATTAGTTGGTGGAAGAAAGAAACAGTTGGGAAAATGAAACTCTTGAAGTCATCTGTAAAACGGAGTGGTGAGGTACTTCAGACGTGCAAACTGGAACTTACCTGGCCCAAATGTGTCAGGCCGTGATATGAGCAAATACAAATCTTGCTGGGAAAAAATCACAAGTAAATGTAATCCTACCTTTTTTGGAAAAAATTCCCAGCTATTAAAAATCAGTGATTTTCATCCAATGGACAAGTGGATCTTTTGACCCTGGAAAACAAAAGAGAAATCAATTCCCATGTTTACACTAATAAAAATCAGTTCCTGGTACTTTTACAGATAACAGCCATGTCATTTTTTTTTTACAACAATACAAAATAGTGCGCCATAGCCGCCTTCATTAATTTTCCAGTTTGGCCTAATCTGAGATTTGCAAAGCTATAAGTAGTAAATGCTAAGATTTGATTTGATGTGATAGCAAATGTCCGTCAAGGCCAAGTTCAATAAGGTGACCAAGGAGAAGTCAGACCCATGAAGTGTTGCAGCATTGAGTACCCAAGCCTAAAGTAAGAAACTTCAAAGCAAAAACAGAATTCTGGGAGTTGAAGTCCACAAGTTTTAAAGTTGCCAAGGTTGAGAAACACTGCTCTATAGGGTCTCCTCCTTGAGCAGGACAGGTTGGACTAGAAGACCTCCAAGGTCCCTTCCAAACAGTCCTGCTGTTCTCTTAGCATGCTCAGAGGCAAGCCGGACTGGGCCCGGGCTTCGGGGATTGCAAGCTCTTTCCGCCTCCCTCTGCCAGAGAGACAGCTTGCAATTGCCCGGGAACGAAAATGCTCGAGGGCTTTTTTTTTTTGCCGAGGGCAAGAAAACGTGGACACACTTCCGGTCCGCCTAGTTAGAGGAACCGCTCTAGCCCGGAGCTCTTTGTCCACGGATATTCGGTTGCCTCTGGAAGCAGCTGCGGAGACATTTAAATAAGAAAAAAAGCTTTGACATGTCTCCATAGAGATAGAACAAAATGTAGACAATATCTATCCTCGGCATCAGAAACTTGCGAGTCCCCATTATATATGTCCAGGGCCCTGACCTCAGAAAAGAACGTGCGGCAAAGCAAAGACGCCGTTAAAACTGTTTCAACGAACGCTTCAGCGGCTGTCATGTTCGTGCGTGCTGCCGCTTGGCGTCGGATCTGCTTGTGGCACCACGACGGCACTGTGGGGAACGACTCTGCTTTCCTAGCTCTAGGGGCAACCGCCTGCCGGAGCGCGGGCGTGGGCGGGCGGGCGTGATGACGTCACGCGCACGGGCCGAACGTGACACGTCAGCGCTGCCGCTGGAGCCGGATGTTGCAAGATGGCGGCGGCGGCGGCGGCTGTGGCGACCGAAGGACCCGGCGGCGCCGGCGGCGCGTGCTGAGGGAGCCGCCTCAGGTGACCTCCCGGTTTAGGAGCGCCGCGGGCCGCGGGCCCGGCTGCGGAGGGCGGGGCTTGACGAGGGGACGGGAGGGGAGGGATGAAGCCTCCCGCTTCAGGAGAAGTCTATCTCGTTGAGGCAGCGTCGGTCACCGTGGATGGTTCCTGGGCGGGAAGGATCTTTCCCCCCGTGTCGGGCAGGATGGCGGAGCAAAGGAGGCCGGGCAAGGACGAGGGAGAGGCGGCACGGCTCGATGTGCCACGTCTCCTCCCGGCTGTTCCTGTTTGGGCCCAAGGCGGTTTGGAGACCCCCCCCTCCCTTTACCCCCCCCCCACCGGTCCCTTCAGGTCAGAGGCGGTCCTCGACTTACGGCCAGAGTTGAGCCCAAACTTGCTTTTGCCGAGTGAGACGTTGAGTGAGTTTTGCCCCGTTTTACGACCGCCTTTGCCACGGTTGCTAAGTGAATCCTCGCCGTTGTTAAGTTAGTGGCACAGCTGTTACGTGAATCTGGCTTCCCCCTTGAAGGAGGGAGGGGGGGGAGAGACTGCGACTGTCGTAAATGTGAACCCGTTGCCGAGCGTCTGAATTCGGATCGTGTGATCACGGGGATGCTGCAAAGGCGGTAAGTGTAAAAAAAAAAAAATGCGGACCTAAGTCGCTTTATTCAAGGCCGTTGTAACTTTGAATTGTTACTAAACGGAACTGTTGTAAGTCGAGGACTCCCTGTGTTTATTTATTTATGAGACTTATATACCGCTTTAAGTGCAAGCACTCTCTAAGCCAGTGGTTCTCAACCTGTGGGTCGGGACCCCATTTGGGGTCGATCGACCATTTCACGGGGGTCGCCAAACCACGCTGTCCGCCATTTTGTTCCCTTTTCCCTAGCTGTCCTACTCCCTCTTATGGGTGGCCACACCCACTTGGGGGTCACCACAACATGGGGAACTGTATTATGGGGTCATGGCATTAGAAAGGTTGGGATCACCACAACATGGGGAACTGTATTATGGGGTCACGGCATTAGAAAGTAAGCGGTGTACACCAGTAAGCAATGTGTGTATGTGTATATATATTTACATTGCCCCCAACAATCTGGGTCCTCATTTGACCTACCCCGGAAGAATGGAAGGCTGAGTCAACCTTGAGCCGGTGAGATTTGAACCGCTGACCTGCTGAACACAGTCAGCTAAAGTGGCCTGCAGTACTGCACCTCTAACTGCTGCGCCACCTCGGCTCATTTGATATTTCGCTTTTTTAAGTCCATCCTGATGCTTTTGGGGCCCAGGAAGCAGAAACGCCAAGAGACAGAGGAAGGGGCTGAGTGTCAGGTTGGCTTCTTTGCCTGGGCAAACAAAACCGAAGGCGCCCAGGAGTGGCTGAAGATTCAGGCGCCCAGTAGAGTTGCTGGGTGACGGGGCGCAGAGCCACAGGTGGGGGGACTGCAGACCCTGGCCACTGGGCACAGCCTCCGAAATGGATGGTGTGCAACATGTAATGCGTCAGGTACTGGAATGCAGGCAGCCCTCAACTTATAACAGTTCATTTAGTGACCAAAGTTGCAACGGCACTGAAAAAAGGGACTTGTGATCATTTTTCACAGTTACAAATCTTTGTAGCATCGCCATAGATCGTGTGATCAAAATTCAGAAGCGTGGCAACTGTCTCATATTCACGACAGCTGCAGTGTCCAGAGGTCATGTGATTGCCTTTTGCAATCTTTTGACAAGTGAAGTCAATGGGGACATAAGTCAGATTCACTTAAAATCAGGTAGGTAGGTAGGTAGGCAGGGAGAGAGAGAGAGAGATCCCCAGCCTTTTGGGCACCAGGGACCGGTTCCGTAGAGAGAGTTTTTTCTGCGGAACAGAGGGTGTGTGGTTTTGTGTACTACCTGCATCTTGTGGATGGAGCTTTGCTTGTTTGTGAAGACCGGTTGCTGGCATGCCGTGGCCTGGTACTGGGGACCTCTGAGATAGGTAGGTAGGGAGGGAGGGAGGGAGGGAGGGAGGGAGAGAGAGAGAGAGAGAGAGAGAGAGAGAGAGAGAGAGAGGTGATTGATAGATAAATAGATAGATAACCTTTACTGTGATTTTTTTTTACTGTGGGCACATTGGCACACATTAAAAATGAAATTCTGTTGCCTGCTCTCAGTGTTCACATGCATAACACACATAAAAACATGCTATATACATACATATGTAGTACCTACACCTTACATATAAATACACATAGATATTAATCACTGTCCATCTTGAATATGTAGCGGAAAGAGGAAGCTTGAGAGTTCACAGGGTTGATTCTGTATGGAACAAAACTGGCTGAATCTGGATGTTCTGTCTCTGATACCACGGAGCCCTCTGCCGCCAGGGAACAAGGAAAACAGGTCGTGAAGAGGATGTGTAGTGTCAAGTCAGGTTACTAACTTATCAGCTGCAGTGATTCACTTAACAACTGTGCCAAGAAAGGTGGTGAAATGGGGCAAAACTCACTTAACAAATGTCTCACAACAACAGACATTTTGGGCTTAATTGTGGTCATAAGTTGAGGACTACCTGTATCTGGGATTTAGCCTTGGAAGTCTGGCCCATGTTAAAAAATGGTGTGCTTTTTCCTGGTGCCTTATCTCCAGGCATCCACGCGTCAGGCAGCTGGCAAAGGAGCGGAGCAATCTCGTTCCAAATGCATGGAGGGTAATATGCATGGAGTGTTGTTCAGGCTCTGTCTGAAATCTAAACCCATTTTTTGGACTTAGATAATGTAAAAATCACTCGGAGGGGAATGAGGACACAGGAGAATCTAGGGCGCTACAAACCCCTTGAGAAGTTTGGGAACATAGAAGCGACATTTGGAAGGCTGATGCAATACCTGTAGCGAAATTCAGTCGTGGATTCTGAACTATCAGGATGTTCCAGTAGAGCACGTTTCTCTTGGCCTTCCCCTACTTAAGTTAATGTTCTCCACAATCAGATGATTAGTTTAATAATTAGATTCCCTTGGTGAATGGAGGTGCCTTGTTTTAGTTTAAAGTTTGAATTGCTGCTCTTGCTAGAGACATAAACCACAGTTGTTTGCGCTTGTTCAGACTGAACAAACCTGGATGAGGTGCCGGTGTTTTTGGAAACCGTCTCCTTTGCTACCATTGGGGTCTCTTATCACATCTTTTTCTTGAAACTGTAAATCTACCTAGGATTTCTGTTCTTTTTACATTACTATTAATTAAATTACTAATTAAACCTAATACGGAAAGTTCCTTGTAAATAAGGTAACAGTACTTCTCTTCCCTCTTGTGAGAGGCATGTTAGATCTGTTCGTGGCACTGAAGGGAGAATAAAGCTGCTTTTTAAATTTTTTTGAAGCATTTACAACCACCAGCAACAAAACCAATTCACAATATTTTCTAATAGAGAGCTTTAATCAAAAAAAGATTAAGACGTAAGTAGGGAATTCCTTTTAAAATAAAGTATCTTTCACATAGCGGAAAATAACGTTTGAAAAGGCCCACATGCCTACTGCTTCAGTGACTCCATCCAGCCACCTCCTTCTCTGTCGTCCCCTTCTTCTCTTGCCCTCCATCTTTCCCAGCATCAGGCTCTTCTCCAGGGAGTCCTTCCTTCTCATTAGGTGGCCAAAGGACTTGAGTTTCCACTTCAGGATCTGGCCTTCTAAAGAGCAGTCGAGGTTGATCTCTTCTAGGACTGACCGGTTTGAACGCCTTGCAGTCCAAGGGACTCGCACGAGTCTTCTCCAGCACCAGAGTTCAAAGGCCTCCATTCTTTGGCGCTGAGCCTTTTTTTTATGGTCCAACTTTCACAGCCATACGTTGCAACTGGGAAAACCATGGCCTTGACTGTACGTACTTTAGCTGGCAGGGTGATGTCTCTGCTTTTTAGTATGCTGTCTAGATTTGCCGTAGCTTTCCTCCCCAGGAGCAAGCGTCTTCTAATTTCTTGGCTGCAGTCCCCATCTGTGGTGATCTTGGAGCCCAGGAAGATAAAATCTGTCACCACCTCCATTTCTTCCCCATCTATTTGCCAGGAACGGAGAGAGCCGGATGCCATGATCTTGGTTTTCTTAATGTTGAATTTCAAGCCAACTTTTGCAACCTATTATTGGAACCTTTTGAAAGTGCATTAGCCTTAGTTTGGTTACATTTAGTGTGTGATCAGCTATTAGCCCAGGGACTTCTTTGCTGCCTTCGGATTATTATTCCTCCTCTGTTGTCTTTAAAGTGAAGACAAATTTGCTGCCTTTAATTCATTCCTTCTCATCTCTGCCTTGCTCCAGTTCAAAGCTTTGTTTTGCAATTATTTGTAAAAACAGGATAAACATTTTCTGTGTCACTTTCATGTTTACTTCTGTCTTTTACTCTAGGTAAGTGTTTCTCAACCTTGACAATTTTAAGGCATGTGGACTTCAACTCCCAGAATTCCACAGCCAGCAATGCTGGCTGTGGAATTCTGGAAGTTGAAGTCCACATGCCTTAAAATTGTCAAGGTTGAAAAACACTGCTCTAGGTCATAGCTATTGAGGAAAGGGTAGGGCAGTGATGGCGAACCTTTTAGAGACCACGTGCCCAGATTGCAACCCAAAACCCACTTATGCATCATCGGGTGCCGAGTGGATGTGGCCCATTGGCTGAGTGTGGCCCATTGGGTGGGCATAGCTGCGGTGGTAACGGCAGACTGGGTGGGACTAAAAAGTTCAATCAATCAATTCCAACTTTGCAAGGTCTTTTTTTCCCCCCGGGAGAAGTTGAAATTAACTGATTGATTGAACCTTTTTTTTTTTTTGTGTACACATGGCGGAGGCCTAAAGCCAAAAGGTGTTATAAAACCCAGTGAAGGCCTAGGACTGGGGCGACGGCGCGTGTGCCCACAGAGAGGGCTCTGAGTGCCACCTCTGCTACCTGTGCCATAGGTTCGCCACCACTGGGATAGGGGCTTCTCTTGAATGCTTTTCCTGTTTTTGAGGAGCCAGTGATAGAATTTATGTGACTGAGTAGAATGTTGCACTAAGCAAAAATGCGCTTTAACTTTTAACTCAAGAAGTCACATTAAAGCTTGTGTATTAAGCACTAAAACTTTAAGGTGATTTCTTGAGTTCTTGTTACAGTGGTGGGATTCACACAACTTGCTGAACCAAGGCACATCACATTAGGTGTCAACCTGGTGTTCAGTTTTCCAGCCCACTGATGTGCATGTTTTCTGTCCAGAATATCACGGGTATGGCTTGTGATGTAGGCACAACAGATCACAAGGTGTAACAAACTTCTCCTCAGAACAAGAAGTCTTAGACTCCTGATCAGCAAGAGTACTTTTCCTTCCCTGCCGTTGGATTTCAGACCCCCTAAAAGGCCACAGAGTAAGGAAGACCAAATTAGTTCACAGCTGAGATGTGTGTCCCTTAAGGGCTAGCGGCACTTTCCTCAAATCCCACCATTCAGGAATTCTGGGAGGTGAAATCCCGAAACACACCACGAGGAAGGCTGTGCCACTGACCCCTTCTTCTGATTCTGATGAATTTGGTGGAAAGCCCACCGAAATGTTTGCTTCCCAGATCCCGTGAGGTTCTTGTCCTTAAAGTTATTTGAAAGTAGATGATGTTGTTGTTAATTGCGAAGTCGTGTCCGACCCATCGCGACCCCATGGACAACGTTCCTCCAGGTCTTCCTATCCTCCACCATCTTCTGGAGTCCATTTAAGTTCACGCCTATTGCTTCAGTGACTCCATCCAGCCATCTCATTCTCTGTCGTCCCGTTCTTCTCTTGCCTTCCATCTTTCCCAGTGAGTCCTTCCTTCTCATTAGGTGGCCAAAGTATTTGAGTTTCAACTTCAAGATCTGGCCTTCTAAAGAGCAGTCGGGGTTGATCTCTTCTAGGACTGACCAGTTTGAACACCTTGCAGTCCAGGGGACTCGCAGGAGTCTTCTCCAGCACCAGAGTTCAAAGGCCTCCATTCTTTGGCGCTCAGCCTTTCTTATGGTCCAACTTTCACAGCCATATGTTGCAACGGGGAAAACCATGGCCTGGACTATGCGCACTTTTGTTGGCAGGGTGATGTCTCTGCTTTTTAGTATGCTGTCTAGATTTGCCATAGCTTTCCTCCCCAGGAGCAAGCGTCTTTTAATGTCTTGGCTGCAGTCCCCATCTGAGGTGATCTTGGAGCCCAGAAAATGATGATGATGGACAGTAAATGATGGACAGGTGCAAATCCATGCCATGGGTGGAAATGTGTCCCTTGTCTCTGGAGATTTGCCAGGAGACTGGCAAAAGTTTTTGGGTACCCGAAAGGCGTTGAAAATTAACATGACCTACTTTTAAAGTTCTGCTTACCCAACGTGTTGGGAAGAAATAACAGTCTGCCTTTCCACCAGAGGGCAAGAGATGGGCGTAATTCAAAACCTCAGAAAAGGCTTCTGCGAGCCTGCTTTTCTTTCTTGCCTTACCCAGTGCTGATTCCCCCCCCCTCCCAATAGCTGAGTCTGATGGAATAGGGAGGAAAAATCAGGCCTGCAACCCGTTACTAGAAAGTGCTGCAGCTTAGGTGAAAGTACTACTCCCTTGATACAAAAGCACAGCACAAAAAGCATCTCTGAGCGAGCCTTTATCAAAGTACATAAATTATAGACCAGTAAGGAAGCACATAAGATTATTCAGATGCCAGAATCCCTTCTGGGCCTAGAACAGTGTTTCTCAATGCTGGCTGTGGAATTCTGGGAGTTGAAGTCCACATGCCTTAAAATTGTCAAGGCCGAGAAACACTGGCCTAGAATTTAAGATGAGAAAATCAAAGTAGGAGGCTTGCTTGTGCCACGGGATCCTGGCTTTATCCATTATCACTGGTATTGTTTCACGAACTGAAACAATACCAGTTTCTACTCGAGCTTCCTAGCCAGCTGCTTTGCCTCCTTTGTGCTGGATGGGGCTGCCACTCTGGGCTCCAGTGGTGGCCTAATGGACCTGCGCGAGCTGGCGGTGGTGGCTGCAGGTGTGGCCACAGAGAGGGCTCTGAGTGCCGCCTCTTGCACGCGTGCTGTCAGAATCCAATTATACTTCATCTCCAGTTATCAATTATAGAAAACCCCATTTCTGCCCTCTCTGGATTCTGTCATAAAGAGAGGGGGGTGAACAAAGGGGCTTTATGGCCCTCACTTCCTTTGGTACAACTTCAAAGGGTTTGAATGTAGTTCATGTAGTTCTCTCTGAAGTCTCCCTCCAGCCGGAAGAAAGGAAAAAAGGGGTGGGATTGTGATGCCTGAAACTGTCACTGGAAGAGGGGGGTGATTGGGTGGGACTACTGGGGAACCCCTTAAAACCTCGAATGGGAGAGCTTGAACCCCAAGTCCTGTCTAGAACGCCTGCAACCATTTTCTCTTAATAAAGGATTCCTGTTGGAAGAATTATTCCAAGAGTTCTGTCTTCTTAAGATGCAAAGTGGGGGGGGGGTCCTTACACGTGCCATAGGTTCGCCACCACTGGTTTAGTGCTATCATAACTTCAGGTGTTCGCTGAGCGAGCGGTTATATATGGAGGACTACCACTAATTCCACTTTTCTGTCTTCTTCCCTCCAGCTTGTGCCTATGAAGGCAAGCCAGCTCCGCTGCATCTGCTGTTCCTCTTCAGGTGGCAAGTGACTTGGCTCCACTTTTATCATGCAGCCCCCTCCTCAGACAGCCCCCCCAGGGGTCGGAGGCCCTCCTCCTCTTGCTCCCTCCTGGAACATGCATTGGCGAAATGGCCTCTACGGCAGGCGGGCCAACGCCCCCACCTCCGCCGCCACCGCAGCGGCTGGACCTGTGCAACCTGTGACAGACCCCTTTGCCTTTGGCAAACAAGGCCCCCGGGGCTCCCCACTGAGCAGCGCCCCCCAAGGAGACCCAGCACCTGCCAAAGGCTCTTCTTCATCGGCTTTCCCTCCGTCGGCTGCTCCCCTTCACCTGTCCTCTGAGGACCTTCCTCACACAGTGACTCCGTCGTTAACATCTGTCTCAGCCTCCCAGTCAGGGACCGGCGGCTCAATTCCCACGTCCACAGCCTCCATGTCGACCTTCCCCCAAAGGGTCACCAACAACACCGAAATGCATCAAAGCGTAGAGCACGGCCCACCACGCCACACGGTGGACCAGCCTCAGCCCGTGAGGATTGCCCCGGAAAATCCTCTTTCGGCTTCCGTCCCGGGCAGGCCGTCGAGTGGGCCTGATGTGAGTAGGAATCCAGGCAACCCCGCTGCGGTCCCATCACCATCGCCGGCCTTCTCGCTCCTCCAGCAGACGGTGCCTCAGTGGATGCCTCCCCAAAGTTCTGCTTATTTGCCTTACCCAGAGCCCCTGTCCCAAAATGCCTTTGGGAGTGCTGCGCATTCCAGCATCTCTGTTTCCCATCCGGGCTCCCAGCTGGATCGCCACCCAACTCCCCCTCAGCAACCTGGGCTCCCCGGTGTCCCCCAGGCGCCCTTCACGCTTGCCGAGGCCTCCGGCGTGACTCTGCCCCCCAGTAGCGCTTGGCAGGGCCCCCGGGGCACCAACGCTTGGGCCAGCCAGCTGCCCCAAGAACACTTTTACTTGCAGCCCCTGGAAGCGACTTATCCTTCGGGCCACCCGACTTCTCAGGAAAACATCGGCCACGCCCAGGGGGTCTGTGAGGCAGGAAGTCGGCCGTGCCCGGACGAGGCATATTCAGGGACGATCTCCATGTTCTTCAAGGGGGACGAGACTGAGAACGAGGAGATCCTTTCCTCGGAGAACAGCGCCCACGCTGCCCGAGCGGACGCGGATGCCTTCCACCAGACGATGGGTCACACGTATTACCAGCCCTTGCACGACCACCAAGGGCCACCGGCTCATTTTTCCCCAGCCCAGGCTAATGCAGCGACGGCGGCAGAGGCAGCCCCCAAGGAGGTGGACGCCCCACGTTTCCCTAGAGTGGCGGTCGCTCAGCAGGCCAGTGAGAAGGCGCCCTTTCTTGGAGAGGACAGAGCCAGCCTCGTTCAGCAAGCAGGAAGCTGCCCTGCCAGCGGCCTGTACGAAAGCGTGGAAAACCAGGAGTGCGTTCAGAACCAGGAAGTCTTGCCGAGGGAGCCTCCGTCGCAGAACCGTTCCTCCCCGGCGGCAGCCTCGGATTCCAGCCGGTACGCCTCTCTGGCCCCACTGCTTCCCAAGAACCACGCCGGGGGGAGCCATCTGGAAGGAGGACCCAACCTGGAGGCCCCCAGCGGGTTCCCACGGCCCGTCCGGCCTGACAGCGTCTCTTCTAACTATAGCAACTTGAGCCCCAGGAGCGCGGCTGGCCCGGCCCGGCCTCAAGAGCTGGGGACGTTCATTCAGCAGGAAAGCGGGAAGCCCGAGCAGGAGGCTTCCCGCTGCTTTTTTAAGCAGATTGACTCCTCTCCGCTAGGAGCAGACGTGGGGGCGCAGGAGCCTGGCAAGAATTACCGCAGCCCCCCCTCCCAGGCGCCGACGCCTAGCCCCCCCAAACCCATGGGAGTGTTTCAGACCAGTGTCAACAGCTGCTTTGAGCCGGTGAGGTCCCACAGCCTGGGCACGAAGCCCCCCGAGACCGATCCGGCAAAGGTGGCGGCCGAGCTGAGAGAGGACCGTCCCAGCCAAAGGGCTGCCCAGAGAAGCGCTGTGGTTTCCGTGGCCTCCCCAGGGAATCTGGAGCAGCCTCCCGACAATCTGGAGACCCTCTTCCTGCCCCCCGCCCACTCCTTGCCCCTCTCCCTTGTGGGCAGGAGTGGGAGCCCCCGGCAGCCGGCCAATGGGGCCGGGGTGGAGAAGAGAGCCACCACTAGAGCTCAGGGACTGGGGAAGAAGTGCGAGAGTCCAGCCACCACCCTTTGGGCGCACAACGAACTGCCCAGTTTTGGGGGCAACGTGCTCCTTGCCCCTGCCGCCCCTGCGGTGTATGTCCCGGCGAAGCCATCCCCGCGGGTGGTTCAGCCCCCGGAGGGAGCGTTGCCGGGGTCCCGCGCCGGAAGCCTCCCGTCTGAGAACTTGGAAAACCCTCCCCAGTTGGGGGACGACGAGGCCATTTCCTCTCAGGGGAGTCTGGGTTACGCCAGCCTCCTCTCCTCCCCCCCGACGGAGGCGCTTCAGAACCAGCCGGTCCTGCTTGCCCCGCCGAGTCAGATTGGCAGCCTGGCCCCGCCCGCCGGTTCCTCTCTTTCGCTTCAGCTGGGCCAGCCCGAAAACAAGCCCTTAGCCAAGGCCCCGGGGACGAGCGGCTGCAGCTCATCTGCGGAGAAGCTGCCTGGGGGCCCAGTTCACTCAAATGCTAGTTTCTTCCACAGCCCACTTGGCACAGCTGAAACTGCTGCCCCCAAACCGCTGGTTCAGTCTGGGTCTCAAGCCCCCCTTAACTTAGCTAGGGACGGCCCCCAACCCCCCGCCACAGAAGGGCTGCCTTTGGAGAGTGCTGGCCAGCCGGCTGCCAGTGTTCCTGTCTCCCACGCCGCTGGCCTGGCTCCACTCGGGGGGCCCAGCAGTAGCCTGCTTGGCTGGGCTCAGAACGCCTCCAATTGCCCAGAGCTTTCCAGAGTGCTGGATCTGGCCGGAGCAAGGCCTCAGGAGCAGAGCAGGGCCGGGGCTGGCCCTCAAGGCCTCGGCCAGCCACTTTGGGGCAACCAGGGCTTTCCTCTGGCGCCCGGACCGGCTGGCCCTGGTGAGGCCCAGGCTCGAGGCCTGCAGCAGTTCTACCAACAGGTCACCAAGGACTCGGGGCCCATGGTGCCCTCGGAGCGAGGCATGACCATGGAGCAGGGCCCGGCAGCTTCTCGGCACCCTTCCCTTTCCCCCAACCTCCAGATGCCTCCGGGAAACCGTGCTCGGGGGCCGAGTCCGAGGCCTTGCTCTGGCGCTCTCTTGCAAGGCAGTTCAGCCCTACCTCCGCCCAGCCATCCTCAGCCCAGCACCGACTTCAGGCAGGATCCCCGCCTCCCCCCCGGTGTTGGGCCTCCTCCTGGATCGACGGCCACAAGCGGCCCCCCACCCGCTCGCCCCCCCTCACGCCATGAGGAGCAGTACCCTCCTTCGCAGAACCCCCAGAATGCCTACGGCCTGCCCCCCAACTCTTCCTACTACTACTACCGGCAGCCATACGACGGCTACTCCTACGCCTCCGTGGATCCGAGGGCTGCTCACCTCAACTACCAGGTAGAGTGAAACGTGCTCTGGTCCTCTTCAGCCACCCTCAGGGGGACTCCCTGGGCCGGGACTGCAGGGGCGATCCTGGGTGGGGCGGGCCCAGGTTTAAGACGTTCCGCCCGCGTTCACATTTGGGAGGGGGAGGTTCTTCAGCGAAAACTCTTCCCACCTGGAGCAATTGTAGGGGCCATTTTTCAGACTAGAGATTTCTGCTGGAGGACAGAATTGTTGGCCAGAGAGGAGAAGGAGGAAGAGATTTTCTCTTCCAAGGCCGCCTTCGATATGGCGGAAGGTGGTAATCCAAACCCCCGAGAACTTCAGCCCCGGCTGCCTTTGAGCCTGAAGGCCTTATTTGAAGGGCTCTGAAGTCACGTTGGCCTTTTGGTGGCAGGGTTACAACCGGCTTGTGTTCATTTCATTTCCACCTGGAAATTTAGCTTTTGTGTTCTTTTTTTGATGCTTCTGACACCCGGGAAAGGAGCGTGCTCCAAAGGTACGCTCCTGAGTAACGTCAACCTTTTTGTCTCTCTCGGAGGACGCTTACGGCCAGTACAGCGCTGCCTACACCCAGTACGACCAGGCGGCTGCCTATCGAGGCTGGTACTCTGAACCTGAGCGCCCCAGTTCGAGAGCCAGCCACACTTCGGAGAGGCCGCGCTCCCGGTAAGCGACGTCGGCATCTCGAAGGCATTTTGCAAAAGAGGGAGCGGGAGCGCGGATGTAAACGCTTTTATTTGGCCCACTTTGGGAAGTGCAAGTCCCTTTTCAAGCATGTCAGCTAATCGCAGACGTTCCCGGAAAAGCCCTAGAAAAGGGAACGTGATTTCTGAAAGCTGGGCCAATGAAAGCATTTGTACTGCCCAGTAAGATTTTCTTCTAGGTCACATTGGTGTCTGCCCCTTTCTCTTTTATCAAAGACATTTTATTGACTGTCTGGTAGATCTGCTTCAGTGTTCTCTGCCCGACCCATGCAGACTGCAGTAATATGGTCCAAGGGCCTACTCTCCTTGTGCCTAGTGGAGTATTTGCAGTTCTCTTTCACTGGTGGAATTCCGTGTGAAATTGGACACTTTCAAAGACTAAGAAAAGGAGGCTGGGTGCTTCAGTAGGCTGGTTTTTCTCCTTTGGGTTGACATTTTGGTCACCAGTAGTCCTCAACTTACTACTGTTTTTTTTTTTATTAAAAGTTTTTTATTTTTTCCATGTAAACGTTATATATATATAAAAAAATACAATAGAATTTTGAAATAAGATAAATTCATAACCATTGGTACGACCTGCCCACTCCCCCCAGGCCGCGTCCACCCTCTCTTAAAACATTCCCTACTTCCCTCCTTTTTCTCACTTCCCATCCTACTCTCTTCCCCTCCCCCTCTCCTCTCACTGCCCTACTTCCTCTCTACACTTGCCCACCTCTCATCCCTATCAAACCCATGAACCCATGATAACCCATGATAACCCATGCCCAGGCCGCACCCCTATAAGCAACTATTATCTATATTACACTTACCCAATTTACTGCTGTTATTAATATAGAACAGTGGTGGCGAACCACAGGTGGCACTCGGAGCCCTCTCTGTGGGCACACGCACCTTTGCCCCAGCCCCACCTCCTCCCACGGTCCCTTCCTCACCAGCAGCCCCCCCCCCCGAGGAGAGTCGCCCCCGGGCGCGGCCCACATGAAGCAGCGCAGCCAAAGACATGGTAGCCGGGCAGCGGGGGCAAGACTCCACCCTTGCACCCCGTCGTGCGCAGATGATGCTGTGAGGCATGGGTGGAGGATGTGGCCGCCATGGCGTTGCTGGGCTGCCTGGGTGATCTGTGGCGGGCCGTGGAGGTGGTGGGTGGCTCAGTGGACAGGGCGGAGCAGGGACAGGGATGGGGGGGCGGTTTTGGGGCACTCGGTCTCTCAAAGGTTCGCCATCACTGATATAGAATATAGAATTCTTTATTGGCCAAGCATGATTGGACACACAAGGAATTTGTCTCCGGTGCATAAGCTCTCAGTGTACATAAAAGCAATAAGTGATAAATCAGAGTCATTGTAAAAATACATCCATCATAAAGATACAACACTTAGTGATAGTCATAGGATACTAAATAAGCAATCAACATGAATCATACTAGAATACTAAATAAAACAATATATAAATCATAAGATAAAGCAACTGTAAGGACCCACCCCATTTTGCATCTTAAGAAGACAGAACTCTTGGAATAGTTCTTCCAACAGGCATCCTTTATTAAGAGAAAATGGTTGCAGGCGTTCTAGACAGGACTTGGGGTCCAAGCTCTCCCATTCAAGGTTTTAAGGGGTTCCCCAGTAGCCCCACCCAATCACCCCCCTACTTCCAGCGACAGTCTCAGGCATTACACTCCCACCCCCTTTTCCTTACTCCCGGCTGGAGGGAGACTTCAGAGAGAACTACATGAAAGGTAATAGCCCCATTGTTATGGTTAGTCCTTTTGGTGATATCCACATCCAGTTCCTTTGAAGTGTACTGAAGGAAGTGAGGGCCATAAAGCCCCTTTGTTCACCCCCTTCCCTTCCTCGTATGGCAGAATCCAGAGAAGGCAGAAATGGGGTTTTCTATAGTTGATAACTAGAGATGAAATATAATTGGATTCTGACAGCAACAAAGCTATAGTCATAAGAAGATGGGGAATAGGAAGGATGAGAAGAAGAATAGCAATACAGCCTCACTAAATAGTTTGACAGTGTTGTGGGAATTAGTTGTTTAGCAGAGTGACGGCATGGGGGGAAAGACTGTCCTTGTGTCTAGTCGTTCTGGTGTGCAGTACCCTATAGCGTCGTTTTGAGGGTAGAAGTTGAAACCGTTTATGTCCAGGATGTGAGGGGTCTGCAGATATTTTCACAGTCCTTTTTTTGGCTCGTGCAGTATGCAGGTCCTCAAAACCTGGCAAAAATAAAGTAAATCACGGCCACATGTCCATGGAAATGGCCATAAATGCAGTCCGGTTGCCGAGCGCCCAAAATGCGGTCACGCGAGCAGGGAGGGGGCAGCCATCAGCAACTTTGGAACCAGATTGTAAATACCTTTTGGGGAGGGTCATCATAACTTGAAATGGCCCCAAGGCAACTGGTTTACAAGTCGAGACGGATGCCAAGATCTGAATTCCCCTCCCTTGAGCACATAATATTCAATCATAATTCCCTCCTCTAAATTGCTGTCATAGATCACAGTTCTCCAATCAGTTTGAAGGGCAAAGTAGCCTGCGGTTTCTTATCTTAACTAATCCCCACACACATTCTTTCTCCTCCCCTCCCACCATCATCTAAGTCAGTGACGGCGAACCTTTTAGAGACCGAGTGCCCAAACCGCAACCCAAAACCCACTTATTTATCGCAAAGTGCCAGAGCCATATCAGCATTGTGGTGCCCTTGAGGTTGGGGGTAGGTGTGGCCCACTGGGTGAGCGTGGCAGGATTGGGGTAGATCCAGGGGGTCTTTGGTGGGTGGGGCAGTGGGCAGGAGGTTCATCCTGCGGGGTGAGGCAGGGGGTAAGGCGGGGGTGCCCTTGCTGCGAGGCGAGGCGGGGGCGGCTTCTACCTGATACCATCAGCCCCCACACACAGAGGCCAGTGAGCGCATGGGGGGCGTGCTGTACCACCTCTATTCAAGCTTGCTAGCCAGCTGTTTTGCCTCCTTTGTGCTGGGTGGGGCTGCCACTCCAGGCACCAGCGGTGGCTTAATGGACCTGCGCGAGCTGGCAGCAGTGGCGGCAGGTGTGCCCACAGAGAGGGCTCTTGAGTGCCGCCTCTGGCACGCGTGCCATAGGTTCGCCATCACTGATCTAAGTTAACTCTAAAAGTACCACACAGCTTATACAGAGAGTGGTTGCCTCTTCATATTTTGTCAAAGCAAGAACATCCAATGTTAGCAGCGTTGACAACGGGGTACCTAAAAATTAGCCCTGTAGAGCAGAAGATCCAGAAATATATTGATTCATATTTGATCGATTGCATTTATATCCTATGTTTATGGGGGTTCTCAGTCGCCCAGATCATGGTGGTCTCAAAAGGTGTTTTTCCAAAAGGTAATTAGACTTTCCTTTCCAGAATCGGTCACCTTCCACTTCCAGTTTTGTTCCTGAGGAAGAACTGCAAAAAGTGGATAGGACTCACATAAACATCCTGATCTCCAGGGAAAAAAACAAACAAAACAGAATTGGGGGGGGGGGGAATCTGGCATTTCTCAAGAAACAACAAGCTGATGTGTTTCAACTGTAAGAAACCCCCGTGTGTACTTTTCAGCAGCGCTTCACGTGTGTTGCTAGCCTTGGGACTTACGAATTTCAATCTTCATCTTTTCTTTTCTCCCCCCCCCTCCCTCCCCAGACAAGATTATCCCGATGATTATTACACCACCAAAAGTGGATGGAATGGCTACTATGGAGACTATTACTCAAATCTGTATGATAACGGAGGTAAGGATATGCTCTGACATCAAAATATGCCAGTTTTAGTATACAAACTCCCCTAGCACAAGCCAGATTTTTATCTCTTTCATCTCTGTAGAGGCTATTTAAAGACCTTAAAAGTTTGAGCAAGCTACAAGTAGCCCTTGACTTACAGCAACAATTGGGGACTGCATTTTGGGCATTACGTTGTTACAGTCTTAAGTTGAGGCACCCGTGTGACCAGATCTGACTTTATGACATGTTTTGCAGTGAACCCTACAGTTGTATGAGTCCATTCTTCCAAACGGGTGTTTTTTGATAGAAACCAGCAAAAAAACAAAAAACCCATTGCAGATTGCTCCTGACTGTGGGAGATTGCAACCGGCTATAAAACCAAGTCCGTTGCCAAACTCCCCAATGTGGGCACAACATTTTGCAATTGCCAGACGAAATTTCAAACAGTCGTTAGGCGACGAGTCGCAAGTTGAAAACTGCCTCTATTTCAGGGACAGAGGCCACTTGCATTCACACGTAAAAGGATGCCGGTTAATTCTTGGCTATTCCTGATCTACATCCTGCCCACCGGGAGGAGACATATGCTGTTTTCCTTTTTGACCCAGCTGCTTTTCAAACCAGTAAATGCAGAGCCTCCATGATGACTGAGTGTCCCTGTAAGGACCCACTCCACTTTGCATCGTAAGAAGACAGAACTCTTGGAATAGTTCTTCCAACAGGCATCCTTTATTAAGAGAAAATGGTTGCAGGCGTTCTAGACAGGACTTGGGGTCCAGGCTCTCCCATTCAAGGTTTTAAGGGGCTCCCCAGTAGCCCCACCCAATCACCCCCTACTTCCAGCGACAGTCTCAGGCATTACGCTCCCACCCCCTTTTCCTTACTGCCGGCTGGATGGAGACTTCAGAGAGAACTACATGAAAGGTAATAGCCCCATTGTTATGGTTAGTCCTTTTGGTGATATACACATCCAGTTCCTTTGAAGTGTACCGAAGGAAGTGAGGGCCATAAAGCCCCTTTGTTCACCCCCTTCCCTTCATCGTATGACAGAATCCAGAGAGGGCAGAAATGGGGTTTTCTATAGTTGATAACTAGAGATGAAGTATAATTGGATTCTGACAGTCCCACTCTTCTGTTTCAGATCGTTACCCTTCAAATTATGACGCCAGGTTCCCAGATCCTCGGTTTTATGACCAGAGGTATTGGTACAACGCGGATCACAACCTTTACCCAAAGAAGGAACCCTCTCAACGTGGAAGCAGGTTTGTGAATATTTGACACCTCTGGGCTCCAAATGGATTTGGGAATGGTGACCTTCTGGGCCATTTTGGGGGGGGGGGGGGGCTGTGTGAGCAGAGTGAGGCAAACAGCATGAAAGGCAGTTGGGACTGCTTGAAATGGTGTTCCTCCAAGAAGGCTTAGTTCTTAAGCATGACTTTGCACCGAGGCCCTGGGGTCTGCTTCACACAGAGAGTGTAAAATGAAGCCTCAAGACCAGTGGTTCTCAACTTTTTTAAAGCCGCGACCCCCAACCGGTCGTAAGTCGAGGACTACTCAACCGGTCGTCAGTCGGGGACTACTCAACTGGTGCAGCACTGTTTGCAGAATGGGACTTTTGGCGGGCTCAGCAGGGCAGAGACAGCCTGGACAATTCCTATTGGCTTTGGAAAGCCAATCGAATTAGACTCTATTCAAGAGATCTATTCTATTGGCTTTCAAAAGCCAATAGAATAAAAGGGAGGAGCACAGCTAAGGAAAAGGGGGAAAAAATGGCGGACTGCGTTGTTTGGCGACCCCCATGAAATGGTCGTTCGACCCCAAATGGGGTCCCGGCCCACAGGTTGAGAACCACTGCTCAAGACTGTTTTAATTGCTGGCCTACTTTACAGCTTGTCAGACCAGCCTCCTTGTGCGTTTCAGCTGGAAACTTTTGATCCAAGGAAGTGCTCAGTTTGAGATTTGCCATGGGAGGCCAATAAAAAAAATGCCATTTTTTATTGACTAGAACAGAACAGAATAGAATCCTAGGGCTGGGAGACCTTGAAGTTCTTCTAATTCCCAACCCCTTGCCCATGACAGGAGACCTCATATTTTGTCTTTCCTTGAAAACCTCCAGCAATGGTGCACCCACAGCTTAGGGTGAAGATTAGGGAAGGCAAGCTTTTTAACGAGCTTCCATCCCTTGTTTCTTACCCCACCCTGAGAAAATTTGGAGGATAGTGTAAGTCCCTCCTCTGTATGGCAGTTGCTCATGTACCAGAAGACAGCTATCCTGTCACCCCCAATTTCCTCTCCTCATTAGGCTAGAGCAGGGGTAGGCAACCTTGCCTCTTTTATGACTTGTGGACTTCAACTCCCAGAATTCCTGAGTCAGCACGGCCGGTTCAGGAATATCGGGTATTGAAGTCCACAAGTCATAAAACACCCCTGGGCTAGACAGAATAGAATAGAACAGAATTCTTTATTGGCCAAGTGTGGTTGGACAGACAAGGAATTTGTCTCCGGTGCGTAAGCTCTCAGTGTACCTACAAGCAACAGTGATAAATCATGATCATAAATCAACATAAAAATACATTCACACTGTAAATCATAAGATGCAACACTTAGCGATAGTCATAGTATACTAGTTTTTAAAAAACAACATGAGTCATACTAACTAGTTCCCTTAACTCTTTCTCGTACGATTTATCTTCCATACCCCTTGTCATCTTAGTTGATCTTTTCTGCACTACTTCTAGGGTCTCGGCAACTTTTTTATATTGTGATGAACAGATCTGGATGCCGTATTCCGAGTGTTTAGTATGAAGTGGTACTATCGGTTCATGTGATCTTGATGTATCAATGCAGGCCAAGACCGGATTGATTTTTTTTTTGTCAGATGCAGCACACTGCTGCCTCATACTTAATGGTTGTCTGGTAGGACACCAAGACATCTCGCACAAGATAAGATAAGAGATAAGATAAGATGATAAGATAAGATAAGATGCCAAGATGGCGCAGCAGTTAGAGTGCAGTACTGCAGGCCACTTTAGCTGACTGTGTTCAGCAGGTCAGCGGTTCAAATCTCACCGGCTGAAGGTTGACTCAGCCTTCCATCCTTCCGGGGTAGGTAAAATGAGGACCCAGATTGTTGGGGGCAATGTAAATATATACATACATTGCTTACTGGTGTACACCGCTTAGAGCAGTGGTTCTCAACCTGTGGGTCGGGACCCCATTTGGGGTCGAATGACCATTTCACGGGGGTCGCCAAACCACGCTGTCCGCCATTTTTCCCCGTTTTCCCTAGCTGTCCTACTCCCTCTTATTGGTGGCCACACCCACTTGGGGGTCACCACAACATGGGGAACTGTATTATGGGGTCACGGCATTAGAAAGGTTGAGAACCACTGGCTTAGAGAGTGCTTGCACTTAAAGCGATATATAAGTCTCATAAATAAATAAGATAACCTTTGTCATTTTTTTTTACTGTGGGCACAACGGCACACATCAAAAATGAAATTTAGTTGCCTGCTCTCAAAGTGAAACACATACATGATGCACACCTAAACATACATATGTATAGACCCACATCCCTACAAATACGTAGCAATAAATATTAAATACTGTCCATCTTGAATATATAATGGAAGAAGGAAACTTGAGAGTTCACAAGGTTAATGCTGTATGGAATGAAACTCTGGCTGAATCTGGATGTTCTGCTACAGATACCACAAGATCATCTGTTCTACACCTAGGCATTTGGTTTTTTTCCTGCCTAGGTGTAGGACCTAACTTTTCTCACCACTGAATTTCATTTTGTTAGATAGGGCCAGGTCTGTCAAGATCCATCTGAATCTTGAGCCTATGTTCTGGAGTAGTGGTGGCGAACCTATGGCATGCATGCCAGAGGCGGCACTCAGAGTCCTCTCTGTGGGCACGCGCATTGTTGCCCCAGTCCCAGGCCTTCCGCTGGGTTTTATGAAACCTTTTCGCTTTAGGCCTCCACCACCATGTGCAAAAAAAAAAAAAAAGGTTCAATCAATCAGTCAATTTCAACTTCTCTTGGGGAAAAAAAAGATCTTGCAAAGTTGGAATTGATTGATTGAACTTTTTAGTCCAACCCA